AGAGCTAGGACTAGTAAAAGAAGAACTGCAGTCGGTGATGCAAACCACGGCAATGACGTGAAAATTGTACAGTGCATTTCCAATTATATATTATATCAAATGTTGTGTATACTAATTTCATATATATGATAATTATCCGGTGTTACTTATAATCTATATCAATGTAGCAAGATGATCTCAGACAAATGCCTCGAATGTCCATCAAAACAAATCATAGTTACGTTTTAGCCAAGCGAAAGAATTTCGATCGTGCTAAAGTAAGTAACATGATTTCAGATCGTCATCTTGTGTCATCAATGATCCTACACTAAGCTAGTGTCAAATTTGAGCTGCATCTCGATGTTCTTCGCCGTTGTAACTTACCGCATACAACATGGCAAGCACGCCATCGGAAAATGGGTCAATTCCATTGGTTGGTCCATGAAATAGAATTGATCCCGGAAAATACCCAATTCTCGCTCCCATTTATCCGACGCTTCCTTTCAGTATCGCCCATCCAGGACCATCTTCACTGCCACTACATTAAAGAAATAAAATTGCAACGCCCTTATTACAAACATTCTTACTCAACGTAATACATGGCATCAAACTGAAATTGTCGATCAGCCACTACTACCTAGACAAATCAACCTAATCTCTCGAAACCCGACTTTGGAGCTATTAGGTCAAGAATGTTTCAGACAGCCAAGGGTAGACTCGTCATATTTATTGATCAGAGACTCTAGTCTAAATCTACCTCTATCATCATGACATTCTACTATTCTAGCATGGTTTAATCGTGTTAAGCAGAATTTTCCGATCACCTCATAAGATTCTCGCTCGGTCATCCGAACTTCCTTACAAGGCGAACCTCTACTCATCTACTGTGCATAACTTGAAAACTATTTTACCTTGAGCTTGCTTCAATACATCAAGCGACTTTCCTTCCATTGTGTATCACCATTCTAACTTGATTAAGTAGAATTCTCATCTGCTCCATGCTGGATCCATGTTCAACTTGCAACGCAGAGTTCGATTAGCTCAATTAACTACCAGCAGAAGGCGAACGAAGTGAAGGTCCACGTGGATGCAATCAATTCCTTTTGAAGGTTGCCTGGCATATCCGTTGTACATCCGTCCGAGAAATGCTTGCTCTCTGCCCATTGTGCCCAGTCGCGACATACTGTAAAGTGGTCAAATTGTACTGTATGGTTTTGTCGTAACGTTTTTCATTTGTTATAGTGTATCTCTTCAGTGGTAACGGTAGATCTCATACTAATCTTGTCAACGGTAACGTTCCCTCTACAGTCCCATTCCACAAACTCATACAAATCCTGTCATTACAGTGAAAACCCGCATCAGTTTTACTGTTTCAACGGACTGGCCACTTCAAGTGAAACCGTGCTGAAACGTAGATCTGAAACGATACACAGTGAGTGTCACCGTCCATCATTATCATCCACACAAGCTGCTTTGATTGATTTAATTCTACTGTATAGTGAGAGTATAGTGTATACGCTCTCAGCAGTAAAGTTGTAGTATAGAACGACCAGAAAAATGATAGATCTGCAGATTTCCATTTCGAATCTTTCTTTCTAGTACTATAGTCCCTATAGGCTGGCAACTTGTTACTCCAGTATAGTTCGAAGAATACTGTACGAGTATGGCTACCCAAAGTAGAGTTAAACTTTCATACTCAAACCCAGTAGAAAATGTTCAGTTTAAAACTAGTACCGGGTACAGCGTACGCTAATGGCCAAAGAAAGTGCCATAATGGCTTTTTGACGGCCATTATTGCAGCCAAATCAACTTAAATTTTGAATATGTAGAATTGAATTTCAGTTGCTTTAGCATAGTCAAAAATTCCTTAAAATGCTGAAGCAACTGAAATCTAGACAAAATTCCGCCTTCCAAACGACCTTTATTAGCGTATCTAATTATCGGAGAAGGCTTAATTTTGATTTTCTCTGAACACCGGTCAAAAGCTGTTAAGCCACGTAAACTAGATGATTGAATTAGATTATCTTTAGAGAGTAATCAATTTCACGACGATTTGTATGAAACAAGATTCAAGTACAACTGTAATCGCAGATATGATTTCTCTACGATTTTCTACCTTAGGAGTCATAATAAAACATGTAGTAGTTCATAATACTGAGTAGTAAATAGCGATTGGATAAAATTGAAAACAATTCAAGAGCTATCTGTCACTGCTTAGACAATAAGTTTCTAACAGTTCGCCGCATGCGCTACTGGTACTAAACCTTCAAATTACGCAATTAGAGAAGTATTATCAATTAATTAACAATCTTGAAAATAATACACATAAATCTGTAGAATTCATTCTTTGTTTACCTGGCTTCATTATTCTATAGGTTAGTCATTCACATTAGGAAAATATAAATAAGACTTAATATGGATCGTTTTCAAGTTCTATTAACGGACAATTACTTCTATACTATATAACATGAGCAAAAATGATTGTTTCAAATGCAATAACAAAATGTAAACAATAGTCTAATTTGATGATTAGAACTAATTAGATTAAAAAATATTTATTTATATCCATGTAATTATTTCGGAAAACTTTCACATTCTCATATTCTATGAACGTTCTTTGTCTACTGTACAGCTTAGACATTTTCAATTTTAATTTACAAATCCAGAAAATCGAATTTTCCACGTCTCCATGAAGAATATAGGTCGTAGAATATCTGTTAACCCAAATCATACTGTTTTCTTTACTAGTACTACATGATAGATACCATTCTACCCAATAAATCCAATGCTATTAAAACGAAATCTCATCAATACTTTCGTAGGTCTTTTTTGATACATTTCGGGTATTCATCTAAAAGAAATACTCTGTAACACACCGTCAATTTTTATAATATCTAAAGTTTAGATTGAATCCTAAAGTTTTAAAGGTGAACATGTTTATCTAAAGACACATTTATTCCTATTTTAAACTGAAAGTGTTCTTTTTGAATACGGAAGTATAGTTTCATATTCTATAAAGTAGAAAATTGAACTGTTATTAGATGGTAAAAAGCTATGTCCACGAGTACATTTGATTGTAGTAATAAATTTCGTGTTTTATACTTTGATACAATAGTAACGGCTTATTCACAATATAAATGACATTTTAAGTAAGCCTAGAATCAAGCTGTCTATATACTGTATAGATTTATAAAGCAAAGTTTTTACTCTATCTACAAGAAGCGATTATATTCCTTACTCAAATGTTATAAACATAAGGGATTAAGCCCTAGTTTATGTGATATCTGCTAATAAACTTTACGCCTAAGCTTGCAAGTTTCTTTTCGGCCAAGAGTGAAAGGTGGAAAGGGAAAAATTTTTATAGTTGTGATTTCCCTTCTGACTCTAAATGCTATGGCGATGTAACTCATAGGCATTGAAAATGGTGCAGTCATTGCCAATAGGATAATCTACTTTGATCCATACTAAAGTGGAAGTGGGCAGTTACTATGTCGTCAAGGAATTCTTCTTCATATTGGCTATTTCATTTGAAGCTGCGAATAAATGGAATTGAAGAGAGATAGAGTACAGTAGGCATGAGAGTTGATTTTCATTTCCTTTAGATAAGTACACAATCAATCCGTATGGAGAAATTCATGGCTATTGACGAATATTAATTGAATACTTTTAAGGTAAATAATTATATGACCATTCACAACTTTATACTTACAAAATAGTGTAGATGCAAAGTTGGCTATCGGGTTATCGAAACTAGTGAATCAAGAAAGTACTATGATAGTTATAGAAATGGAGAGATCACCATGAGCCAATTCTTTAATACTTAGCAAGTTATTTATGTCAATAAAAATCCCATCCTTCTATCAAGGAAAAGATTTCATAACGTTATAGTATTGCAGCGCGCATAACAAGTCTTAACTTGCCGAAAGGTCTGTATCATGCCTGCCTGGTTCAAACTTGAACCTTGATCCAAACAGACAATTGTATTGACAAGAAGTAATCATGACTGATGTCAATATCCGATTTGATCGTATCATTGAAATGCATACAGACACATATAAATCATGTTGTTAGTTCAGTATTGCATTTTATTGAATATGATGCAACTATAGCGATATTTGAAAGCGGTAACTGGAATTACTAGCTTCAATTCATGTACTGTACTAGGATAGCATGATTCCAAATCATTTGAGCGCATTTTTAAATTAAATCTATAACTTCGAGCAAGTGTAAACTGATCCATGATAATGATATTTCATAGAATGTTAAAATTGAAGAGTAAAACTTCAAAATGCTCATCAAATTATCAGGCATAGTACGAATAGCAGTCCTCAACAAATGGCCATTTTGCCATCGTGAATGCTGATGAAAACACCTTGACTTGATTCATTAAGGTTTACTCACATCAATTAGCAAACATTACTAAATAAAGTGTCCAATAATACGCTAGTCAATTTTATTCAACAATATCAATGAAACAAGTACGACTATTGCCTACAACACAGTCACATACTGTAATAGAGCAGAAAATTCGTTAAGTTTCCTTCTAACAAAGGGTAAAATGGCGAGCATTACCCACAATTATATTACAAGATTGACTAATCTACTATTATATTTTCAATTAATGCTTAACACTGATATCAAACTAACAAAATAATGCCAGTGCATAATGGATCTACATCAAATTTTACAAACTTGTCATAACATGGAAAATTGGATATGGCTACCCTATCAAAGGATATTACATACCGTATATACATGCACTGCTATGTGTATATCTAAGATGATCTTAAACGGTTTTTATCGTTTGATGTAGCATAGAAGGATTCCAGTCATGGTTGCAGTCTAAGTTTGACAGGTCAAGTTTGACTATATCAACTTAAGAAACCGATTATGTTTTAAAGGTTCTATTGCATTGAACTGCTTTAAATACGAGTTGCTTCCGTAGCAATATTATTCGCTTTTTCGAACGGGATATCACATAAATCCTTTTCTTCTCCCGAGCTTTTACCGTTACCTTTATCATAGAACCACCAAGACAATATAAAAAATGTTACAGATACAATCTTAACAAAAATCATAGAACCATAAAGGTAATTCGCCAAGTTTCTGCTATCATATAACCAACATGTACGGGTAGAGCTACATTCTTGTGTCCATAAGATACACGATTGATCAATAAAAGCTCCAATAATAAGCGGACCTGGTATATTTCCAGCTAAGCGTACCAAGGACGAAACAAGCCCCAGAGCATAGGATCTTTGATCATCACCAACACACCTACGTATTATCAATAACGAATCAATAGATTGGAATAAGTGAAATCAATGAAGCCAATTTCAGAATCTGTAGCCCTTATCAGCTATCTTACCTCATTATAGCTTCTATGGATGGAACAGTTTTAGCCATAATGGAGACCATTGAAATAGAAGCACCAATCACAAATAGCGTATATTGTGGGCATTCCGAGATACATGATCCCTGGATAGCATCATAACTATATTTTGTCCGATTGACATTTTGAATGCAACTGCAGTTGTGGTAAATCTAAACAAATAGAATATCAACGTCAACAAGAAAACCGGCACCTGCTCTATCTATCCATTTAAAAATATGCTCAAACGTATCGATGCTTATAATAACGATGAAATATTCCTAAATAAAGCACTTGAAATTAGATCTTTTGCTTTAGAGTACAGCTATCACTTAAAATAGAAATAAAGTAATCTACTTGAGGATAACATACAGTTGCAGAACGGTTGCTATCGACATAGCTACTGGTGCAGCCGGCATGACATGGGGAATAATAGGTTTTACCATCGGATCCACATATTGCATTATATTTGACGTTGTTACACATACAATCTGTGTTACAGGATGCCGTTAAATTAACTGCGTTTACCCTGTGATTTCTAATTGATGGAGTACGTACTAGACATCAGCATAAATCAAAAGAAAACAAAGATACTCATGAAAGCAACTTGGCGCATTACTTACAGTGTAACTGACGAATTACTGCCGTAAGGACTGGTGACTCCAGCAAAAGGAAGATTATTACAACCGAGTAGGAAAACAGTAAAAACTATACAATCACATATACCAATAATCCAAGTTAATTTGGTTGCACCACGACCTTTTAATTTAAGGACTCTCAACAGTACTCCACCCTAAGTTGAATTATTAAGACAAGAGTTGGCAATCAAATCATATTTTAGATTGGTTGCAGCGAGATTTATTGTTCCTCAATGCTATTACGACAATCATTGATTCATTACTTACCAGCAACATACCAATGCATCCTCCAACTATACTAATGTAACCTACAGTAAGGCTAGCTTCAGAAGAAGGTAAACGAAACTGTGTCTCTAAAATCTTTGGAAAAAACCAAGTTACGCCATTGACTGCGAGAAACTCAAATGTTCCAGAAATGAATAAGCAGACAAACGGAACGTTCTTGAATAAATCACGACTAGCTTTCAGAAAATCTGAAACGCTGTTGCCGTATCCTTTATCAATTCTGTTAGTAGCTTTAGCTTCTTCTTGTCGGATACGTTTGTATTCTTCATAGCCAGGTAATTTACGTGGAAATCCGAAAAGAGGAATAGACGCAGCAAGCAAGCAAACAGCAGAGATGACGAAGCACAGCCACCAGGCACCAATCCATCGCGCATCTTGAGGTGTTAAACCTTTATATTTCGATTAAAATTTTAAATTTATTAGTTATCGTGCTCTAAAGAACATTGATTAAAGTAGTCCATGCAAATTGTTAATAATTTATTCAGCTCAAAGAGCATGATTAGCAATTCAATCTACCTGGTGGCGCTGCTTCTGGCCAGTTAACAAACATATCTAGAAAGATCCCGACGATAATATAGCCCAGCGAAGGGCCTATAATACTAATAACAAAGAGCGATGAAACATATAACGGCGAAGAGACTGGAGGAACATTCTCATCGATATAAGTAGTACCAACACTCCAGATCAAGTTATTTCCTGCACCCATCAATAACTGTGAGATTAGAAACAGGAAAAAGAAATTACGCAGATAGGAATTGCTGGAAACTGATGAGGATGCATCACAACTGCCTGATAATAGCGACGAATTGACAAGACATAAATCGGTATAATTGCTGGAAAAACTAGCGACAACATATTTTTCGGTGGCGAAATGGGGTATCGAATAAGTGAACGCTCCTACTGCCATAACTAAAGCACCCACGCTTAAATATCTTCCTTTATGCCCTCGATCACCAAGATAGCTAGCCGTAACTCCAACTACTGCACTAGCAACTTCAGCGGCCGATGGCATGGCTCCCGTTTCTGTACTGCTCAGACCGAAACGTTTCTCGACCGAAGTAACCGTTCCTACGGCAAATCCACTCATAAGCATTCCAGCAAAAGTAGCATATATGCAAATAACGATAACTAGCCACAATCGATGATTTAAAACCTGTAGCCATTGTGGCTGGCATGGACCACATCCATATCGATATTGACTTGAGTCCTTGTCAGATTTATCGTCAACACTATCTTGCAACATTTCATCAGTCAAGTCATTATCTTGTCTAAAATCACTTTTCAAATGTTCCTTACGGGTAATAGTGGACTCACTGTGTGAATCTTGGCCAGATTCGTTTTGAGGGCTACCCATGATATCGACAATGTTTTCCTTATTTCGTCCTGATTTTAATGTCAATTAACAATTACCTCACCTTGAATGACATCAGTGATAAATCATACTAATGGTAATTAAGCTATTACTAATTTCTTTGGCTTAACCTATTGTGATATAACGCCATAAATATCACGTGTAATTAAACCAACATTAGGCGTTGGCTCTGAGAGCATGTACAAATAATAACCAGGCAAAAGAAGGTTTTAAATTTTTCTATACACAAGGTCGAAAGTTGAATGCAATAATCTCTCCGTTGCAATTGTTCATTGTCAATGGGCCTTGCCCATATGTATTCTGTTTCCATGGGTTACAGGTGGCTATGCCATTTTGTAATAATATGCTATCATTACGTATTATTACATTTCTCCATGAACTTTTAAATTCTTAGAAGCCAAGGTAATTATAACATATCATAAATTGCAATTTCTTAGTATCAGTTTTCATTTATGGTTATATTTATTCGTGTTTACTATAAGGAAGTACATTGGAATGGTGATGCAGTTGCTTCGTTAAGTAGGAGCTACTTACAGAATCCATACCACGTATTAGAATGAAAAATGGCCATCAAAGTAATAATCAACGAAGCCTTTATAAGGCTAATGAATCAAAAGGTGTTAATGATAGTTTATGTTAGATACCATATCCGACTATTACAGATTTCCTGTCATACAGAAGTCGAAACAAATAAATAATTAAAATAGCAGCTTGGTAATGGTTCAAAGTACCTTTAATCTATATGGAAAACAGTCGGAAAATAATAATATTGCTATAAAAGTGGGCATTTCTGCATCTGGTACTGATACATACTATAGTTGTAAATAAAATTCATTCAAGGGTTAAAAATTATTTAAGGCCCTTCTTAACTATAGGCTGTCTTCATTTTCAGCAGTAATAGCATGGAAATAATATATCGCTTTAGAGACACATACTGAATAATGGGTTATTAGAAATTACACATGAAACTTTTAGATCCACCAATTGAACCAATTTATTTAGTTAGAAATATAGATATTGCCGATGAGAAATATAGCACAAAACTAGGCCAAAACTGATATCTTAGTAAAGGGTAACATGATTAAAACAACCAAAATTCTCCCATGACCTAGAACCCATGGGCATGCCTGCATCGGCTTTATAATGCTGTTCATCTTCTAGAGTAAAATATGATGACAAATGTTCGGTTTAATTAAATCATCTTATGATACGGTCCTGAATATAAGGAACATTACCTTAATTTGCATATTTAATATTGATGGAAGTCATTACATCAGTATCTATAAATGAAATAAATAAAAATAACACAGAACTTGTACATTTATTTGCAAGTGATTATATTATGTAAGATGTAGAGAATTTTTAAATTGTTTTAATATTGATCCAATCTTAGAGCATTAACGAGCTAATCTAGATAGTCCAATATGGTATATTTCCATAAGAAATGTTAATAATTTGGAGTTGTAATATTGGATGCATTAACTGTTATTCTTAAGAATTCAATAATATTTCTTGAGAATATAAAAATTACATGCCAAATTCCGACCAGAAGCTTAAAGATCTTATATAATTAATTGATTTTATTTCAGTTTAAAGTTAGTTTCGGTATTTGATATGACATCATAAGAGGCAAGATATTCATTTGCTAAATCAAATATTACTATAAATTACATGGAAAGAAACATTATTACAACAACAAACTTTGCCTCCAATAGCAATGATGGAAGCGCTGAACCACAACGTCCTATTAGATAAAAGATTTCAATTGAAAATTCGAACAATCAACAATTACTTTCATCAGAGACGAATTTTTTATCTGTTGCTTCAGTGCTGTACTCTTTGAAAAGTATTGATGTAAGAACATAGCAAAGTCTATAAAGCATTTCAGTTTTTCATGAAACTGAGTTTTAACAGCTCAAATGTTCAATATGGTGCTTGTTCTAGCCGGCATTTCGCTGTATATCTAGGCATTTAAAATGATTCGGTCAGACTCAATAAAGTAGTCTATATTGGCCTACGCTAAAGTAGGAATAGGCAGCTGTTAATGCAACCAAGTGACTTCTCTTATTCGATCTTAAAAAAGTCTACAATAATCTAACCTTGAGCTTGCTTATACCACTGAAATACAATCTAAAATGCCCTCAATGCCGTATAAAAGTGCTGCTGTTAACGCTCTAGACTATTAACCAGTCCCTGATAGTATTACTGCTGACCAATACGCCTACAATAAAATGAGCTTGAAGAAGAGGAAGAGCATAGTTGGCGGGAGAGCTCAGTTGTACTTTGTATCAGAGAGCAGAAGGACTTGATTAGAAATTCCGATCCTATGATATCAAGGTGATTAAAGAATCTTAAACATGGGTAGGATAATATACAACTTCATACATAAAACCAACAAAAAGCATGTAATTGAGTTATCTAAGCTAGAGAATAAAAATAGGCTATAGTACATAGTAGAAGATTTGGAGAGATCATCATTATATTACAGTATTTTCAGTATTCGTAAAGTTATTAAAGCGGATATTGTCTAGCAATTTCAGCCCAAAGCATGATATAAGCACACAATTGTAGGCAAACATAGGGCTTTAACGTTGCAAGATAGCCTATTAAATGTATGTCTCGCTCAAAACCTTGACTTAGATGAGATCTATTTACACCTAATATATAAATCCAAATCCAAATTCGATTGTATCTTTGATACGATAATGGAAAAGCAAGTAGAGAAAATGCTTGCTTTTATTTATGTTTGTGCGCGGACAATATGACGGTGATACAATTTATTTATCTCAAACTGTTCTGTCTAGTCCAAAAACATCTAATTGAAACAAATCAATTGGCTGAGCCAAGATAGAATTGAAAAAGTTTTATTACAGGGTTTAAGAACAATGAGCAATAGTTAACTAGTAGCATGAATCTAATGTATAATATTTTAAGCTCTAAAGAACTATAGTCCCAGATCATATTTGCAGTTCTGAAATTCATTTAACTCCATCTATTTATAGTAACGAGGTTGTTTTAAATCAAACTTTGGTTATAAGATAAAACATTTTCCTTCAAATAAATAATTACATAACAATATATATACAAAATGTAGCCTTGTGCAAATTAATCGGTTTAAAATATCATCATTCTATTAAAGTCTATCACAATAGGGTATTGAGTATCTTCACTATTACCGTACATCAAATCATATAAGTCTTGCACTAAAGTTAGTTAACTTACTAATATGGATAATCAACAATGTCTAATAAAATAATTAGTAATAATCTTATATTAGCATCGTAGTAACATCTAATTTTGGAAATTAAACTATATTAAATGTATCTATCAATACAATTAAATACGCGATACATCACTGTGATGACATAAATCTATTTTAGCTTGTTCTCCAATCAAAGATCGGACTCCTAACAAATGTAAACATGTTCCATCATTTTGGAGAAAGTTAGAATTGATAAAAATTAAATATAAAAAGCGCTCATAAAATTCCAGGCCTAATTCAGGTGAAATTGCTCAACGTATGACCACTTCAGCATTATAAGTAATGATCCAGACCATTTGACTTGATTCGTCAAGATTACTTACATTATTGGAGTTACATATTATAGCAGGAGATTTATTAAATTTCCTTACTTGCCAAGGCTAAAATAGTGCTTAGTAATCATTTTTATAAAACAAGATTGGCTAATCTACTATTTTACTATCAATTAACGCTCAACATTAGAATAAAAATATCATAATACATGGTTACTTGCGTAAAATTCACAAAAAAAGGAGTAACGTTGATAATGCTACTATATTAAAGGATGTCATATTGACATGCAGTACTGTATTTACATACTTCGATAAATGTCCATCTAAATGTCATTTTTGAAACTTCAAAGAGGTTTGGTCAATATTATTTATAATTTTGCCAAATTAAGAAACTGATATTCTATGAATATTGTTTTATATTCGACTACTTAAACTTGAGGTGTTTCGGTAGAGTTATTCGCATCTTCAAGCGGAATATCCAGTAAATTATTTTCTTCTTCTAAACTCTTACCGCTACCTTTGTCATAGAACCACCAAGACAACACATAAAATGTTGTAGATACGATCTTGACAAAAATCATCGAACCATAAAGGTATTTCGCCAAGTTTCTACTATCATATAACCAACATGTACGAGTGGAAGTGCATTCTTGTGTCCATAAGATACACGATTGATCAATGAAAGCTCCAATAATGAGCGGACCTGGTATATTTCCAGTTATCCGTACCAGCGATGACATAAGTCCTAGACCATAAGATCTTTGATCATCAGCAACACACCTAATTATCATGGATAATATGATAATAGATTAGAATAAAAAACAATCCAGACACTGCCAGTATTTTATCTACAATGAATTCGTTTACCTCAATATGGCTTCGATTGCTGGAACAGTTTTAGCCATAACAGAGACCATTGAAATAGAAATACCAATCACAAATAGCGTATATTGTGGACATTCTGAGATACATGATCCTTGGATAGCGTCGTAACTATATCTTGTCCGATTAACATTCTGAATACAACTGCAGTTGTGGTAAATCTTAAACAAATAGAATTTCAATATCAATAATAGGCGTATATATACAGCGAATAAATGCTAGTATCTGCTCTGTCTATACACATTTGCCTAAACGTATAAATGCAGCAATATATTAACTATACAATAATCATAACACAGAGCAATTACTATCGGAGCACCTGCTTTAGAATACAGCTATTTGTCATTCATCGAAGTAGTATATTAAAAGTAATTTACTTATTAAAGTAACATACTGTTGTAGTACGGTTGCTATCGAAATAGCTACTGGTGCAGCCGGCATGGCATGGCGAGTAATAGGTTGTACCATCGGATCCACATATTGCATTATATTTAACGCTATTACACATACAATTAGTATTACAGGATGCAGTTAAATTAACTGTATTTATCCTTGGATTCCTAGATCATGAAGTACGTGTTATACATCAGCATAAAACAATAGAAAATAGATATTTATGAAAGCAATAGGATAGATTACTTACAATGTAACCGACGAATTACTACCGTAAGGACTATTCACTCCAGCAAATGGAAGATTACTACAGCCGAGTAAGAAAACAGTAAAAGCTATGCAATCACATATACTAATAATCCAAGTTAATTTGGCTGCACCACGACCTTTCAATTTGAAGGCTCTTAAAAGTAGTCCACCCTAAGTTGAAACATTATGACAAGAATTGTCAAGCAAGTACCAGAAATTTTAATTTAGATTAGTAGCAATGAGTTTTATTGTCCCTCAATATAATTACAATTACTGATTCATTGCTCACCAACAACATGCCAATGCAGCCTCCAATTATACTAATGTAACCTACGGTAAGACTGGCTTCAGAAGGAGATAAATGAAACTGTGTCTCTAAAATCTTTGGAAAAAACCAACCAATGCCATTGACTGCGATAAAATCAAATGTTCCAGTAATTGTTAAACATACAAACGGAATGTTCTTGAATAAATCACGACTAGCTTTTAGAAAATCTGAAACGCTATTGCCGTATCCTTTATCAACTCTGTTAGTAGCTTTAGCTTGTTCTTGTCGCGTCCGTTTATATGCTTCATAACCAGGTAATTCACGTGGAAATCCAAAAAGAGGAATAGAAGCAGCAGTCAAGCAAGCAGCAGAGATAACGAAAGACAGCCACCACGCACCAATCCATCGCGCATCCGCAGGTATTAATCCTTTATGGTTCACAAGCGATTGTCAATTTATTAGTTATCATGCAGTATAGGACATTGATGAAAGTAGTTATTACGAAGTGCTAATAATTCAATCAACTAAACAACTATGCTTAACAATTCAATCTACCTGGTGGTGCTGCCTCTGGCCAGTTAACAAATACTTTTAAAAAGATACTGACAATAATATACCCAAGTGAAGGCCCTATCATGCTAATAGTGTAGATCGCAGAAACATATAACGGCGAAGAGACCGGGGGAACATTCTCATCGAGATACGTAATGCCAATACTCCAGATTAAGTTATTGCCTGCACCCATCAATAACTCAGCGATTAGAAAGAGGAAAAAGAAATTACGCAAATTGGAACTACCAAAAATTTGTAAAGATGCATCACAAGTGCTTGATGATAGTGATGAATTGACAAGACATAAATCAGTATAATTACTGGAGAAACTAGCGACAACATATTTTCCAGTAGCGAAGTGGGGTATCGAATAAGTAAATGCTCCTACTGCCATAACTAAAGCACCAATGCTTAAATATCTCCCTTTGTGCCCTCGATCGCCACAATAACTAGCTATGACTCCAATTACTGCACCAGAAATTTCTGCAGCCGACGGCATTGATCCTGTTTCTGTACTACTCAGACCGAAGCGTTTCTCTACCGAAGTAATCGTTCCCACAGCAAAGCCAGTCATCAGCATTCCAGCAAAAGTAGTATACACACAAATGACGATAACAAGCCACCATCGGTGGTTTAAAAGTTGTAGCCATCGTGGCTGAAATGCACCCCATCCATATCGATATTGAATTGAGATCTCTTCAGATTCGTCATCAGGACTACTTTGCAACATTTTATCCGTGCAGTCATTACTCTCTTGTTCACAATCGTTTTCCATGTGTTCCTTGCATTTAATGTAGTACTAGTACAAACTCACGTCGCTTTGATGACGGTTTACGATAATGTACCCATTTGTTAATAATAAACAGATAGTATTGCCGTTCGACAATATTTATTTATATCCCGGTAATAGCCAGGCACAACTATATTCGCAGCTTTGCTTGTACAGTAGAATACTACTTGTCAATAATGCATTGACAAATGAAATGCTATGAAATGCTATATTAAGATTAGTTAATGGTCCAAAGCACATTATGATAACTAATGTACGGGGATGGGCATACCAAGTTAAGATTAGCAGGTACTGTAAGATATCGACAGTGCGGTACTATGTCCTTAGTACTGTGGTCAATTCTATACCAATCATGATAATGTATCTAAGGATCGCTTGAGTATGCAAGCAAAGCTTACTCAGTCGATAACAACTGTTATAAGAAAATGGAACAATCAAAATGGCTGTGTAGAAAACTCTATAAAAATTCTCTGTTTATTCAATTTTCATCAGAATATTACATCAAATCAAAATTGAAAGGCCCAGTGGCCACCCTTACCGATATAAACGAATACTATTTTAATAATCAGTACTCTGCAGAAATGACTACTTTAGAGCTATTCGTTTTACATGAAGAAATCTTGAGGTAAAAAGTACCGTAAGAATCTTATACTGACCTATTGAAATGAACCCATAATCAGAGTCATCTAACAATAGTTTAAATAAATAAATACCCCCGCATTGCTTGTTTATAGGGTGGGAAGGCGGGATTCATTTGTTGAGTGTTGACCAGGTTTGCTGTGAGACTACTCACGACTTTGACAGTTTTTATTTTCGTTCCTTAGTACAAATTAATACAAGTAATTATTAGTCCTCCGATAACTTGCCCAGTTCGGATTAAATTCGTTGACGGGAGAATTAGCATTATAGCCTTTCCATCGAAATGAATCCATCACAATAATAACTTACTGATCTCAAAAGTATGCCTGTAACCTAAGATTTTATAGTATGGTTCGGATTGCGTCATTATTTATTGTAGAAGATCTTAGTTATATTTTAAATAAACGCATTCAGTAATTTCTACATATTTTCTTGAAGTTTACAGATAACAACTTTGATATGCAGTCTTCACCACTTTTTTCGCTATCAATTAGTTGATCCTAAAAGAATGCTACTGTAAAAAAAAGCAAAATTATCAACACTTAGCTTCTAGCAAACTCCAGTGTTATTTTAAGGTTAAAGTTCTGCCATAAAGCATAATTACAGCAAAGCTTCATTTTGATTGAAAGGTGTCTTAGCATAGGCCACCAAATTCAATAGTACGCTTTGATTCCAGTTCTACATATCTTAGTAATACATTCATGGCAAATTGTGACTACAAGGGATAAAATTTCAGTTAGACTGGCACTCATTTAGCCCAGCTCAATAACTTATTCTTACGTTTTGATTCAATGTTTCCAAATTCTATTATCCATTACAGCAGAAATATCTAAAACGTGAAGCCAAACTCATCTCAACCATAGTATTGGCTCGAGACTGTGTTTAGCTTTCAGATTCATACCGATCTGGAGAAATGTTACTATAGTTTATTACACAATTATGCTGATTTATATTCATCAAGATCTGAATGAAATCAAATTCAAGCTAAAAAAAAACGATACCTACGTCTATTTAACTTAGCTTATTTCGTAAGTATTGCTTTTGTAGATCAAGTTTATTCTGGCTTACAGCAAATGACTCTGAATATAGGAATACCTAAACTTAGCCGAAAAATAAACCCCTTTATTAGCTAGATACACTATTTCAGAAGGGTATTTTACAGCAGATTTACCCAGAATTTGAAAGCAATGACTAAAAATTAGCTAAATTTAAATTCAAAATTAGGCTTACTGAGCACGGTCTAATAGTTACGTAAGCATTGGTTTAAATTCATCCACAACTTATCAACCATAATTCTGATAGAAACAATTTAAAATATTTGCTTATAAACTGATTGCAAATCTTTTATTGCCGACGTATTCAGTTATCTGAAAGTATTGCTGAGACAGTTTACATTAATTTGTAATAAATAGACATAAGGAAATCAAGAAGCGAGAACTAAGCTATTGCAACGTTATTTCTATTCCTATGGAAGATTATCATTAAGACTATTTTAAAATAACAAACATCAACACTAACTTGCATTAATAATTCATTCATCCATTTCTTAATGAATGAAGACATTAACTGTTTGAAAATATGCCAGTTATACCTATCAAAAAACGAGTAAACAAACAACATCGATACTTAATATATTGTTGTATTAAAACATTTCATTACCTGTATATAAAGGTAAGCAGCAGCACCAACGTTGTTCTTATAGATATGATTAATCTTCTGGCCTCAATTAATTATTGGCAATAGAAATTAAAATTTCACAATTGTTGGATAGCAAAATTAATCCTCACTAAAGTAATAATCAAACCGCACAATGAAATTGTACTAGTGACAGAATCTTTTGTAGCTTCCGATTACGTATCGGTAGCTCTTGGGCAACCTTTAGCGTTATACTCGTATTGTTTATTTGCTGTAGCATACATATATTCTGTCATGAAGAGATTTTTGTAAACTAATGCTTATCTTAATTTTCATTAGATAACAAACTCTGGTATTTGTTGATAATACCGTTATCTATGACGGTATGTATAATTTCATCGTATCATCTACGTGCTGAAAGCTAGTGATTAGGTAAGTAATAATATCAGCGGTAGCTTACGGATCATATCATTATCAATGACGACGATATAATTTTACAGTTTGAAAAAAGATTCTTTATTTCTCATTCGGAAGGTGATTTTGAATAAAGTTTGTCTATTCAGTTATCAACAATGAAATGGTAATAAAAATTTATCTGGTCGCTGTTCTCTTACATACAATTGAGATAATAAATCTAATTTACGTTATCATTATTCCTATGTACAAAATTAAGGTTCCAAATCAGATTAAATCACCGAAATTTGTTAAAAGTTTCATCAATCAATGTTAATAATCACAATAGTAAAATTCATGAATTAAATTTTAAAAAGGAGAATTCATGCCAAGTTTCGTATCAAATTTTAGTCTCTCTCGTTTCTGGAATCGTACTTGAAGCCTTTAAACAAGAAACCATTCCATTATGAATATTAATGACATAAAAACATTATGATTTAATGCACAAAACACTATTAATTTGCCCTTGGTACCTGATATCATAATATTTTACAATTTCGTTTAAAACTAAAACAACCAACGACCAAGACGTCGATATAATAAAGACAGAGGTCGGAACTATTCTAAACAAATCAAATTCGACCATGTTCGCTGCAGTATTTACAACGACTATTAACAGTCCCAACAGAATCCTGGTTTTAATTATAATTCGATAGCGTTAACACATTTGATGGTAGTAATAATCAACTATACAAAACTTCACTGCTAACTCAATAAACTGAAAGGACAAAGATTCCTTACGAGATGGTGCATGAAATTAGCCAAGTGCGATTGGAAAAAGGAGATCGCCAAATTCTTAGATTAAATGTATCTACAAAACCTATCGATATCTCCACTGCAATAAATATATCCAAGAGTATTTCATTGTCAGCCATTCAATAATATTATTCTATTTCAGAATATAAGACCTACCGAAATAGATACACATGAGTGCAAACGTTTGATTTTGAGCAATAGTAAGCTCCCGATGATTGGTCGTCAACCATCCATTCCATGAACCATTACCAGATTTATTTCTAAACCAAATCGCAGCACAGATTAAGCAATAAATTAGTATTAAATCATTGATAATTATGTTATAAATTCTAGTACATAGTACATAGCTGCGGTTGATTTTATGTTCGAATCAACACCCAACTCACCTATTCCCTAACAAAAAGTGGCACTCACCACCACTGTTTTTATTACAATTAAAATTTAATGTGAGATAATAGCATATAAGGGAGACTATCACCGATGGGACAAATCTCAATAGCAGGTACATAGCTTTCATCTTCTTATTCTGCAAATGAATTAATTGTCTCAGGTACAATGATTGCTCGCACAGTTGATAATTATTGGTGCAGCAAAGTTATCTCAAATTTCCTGTAAGAAAGAATTGTCCATTAATTCTTACAAGTCGGCATACCTTGCGATGCTGGTTATTTTTTCCGGTCATTAGCGACATCATATCATGGGAGCTGCGTGATAATATCAACGGAGTTCCGATAAGTGGGATGATAGCGCAAGTAAACCATAAAATGTGATATCCGGCTAATGGGGGTGGCATTAGTAAGAATGAGCTTAGCAACAACAATAGCGATAAAGAGATTTGGCAAGAAACCAGAAACAGACAGCAAGAATGGAGACCATAACACAAAATTCTGGCCTAATAACAAAGTTGGTATGATATGGTATTTAATTTTTCATTTATTATAAATGGAAAGGGAAAAATGTAATTTACCTCCTTCATGACTTCAATCACTTCCACATAATTATTACAATCATACAACAATGGACAGCAAAAAGTATTCAGTAAAGAGCTTATCACCAAGGGTGTTTTGCCTAGGTAAACACCCAATAAGCATTAGTAACTTGCCACAATAAAAGTGCCTATCTTAAATTTATTGCACTTGTAACTACCTTCATAGCTAACGGAATGATCTCGATCTTCGTCAGATATATTCTCGCAATGCTTTGGAAATTCAGGATTTACAGCTATGCTGCGATGCAGGAATTGAGGTTTGCGATTTTTGTAAAATGGTAATCAAAACAATGAAAATTGGAATATGCTAATAACTATCTACAGTGCACAATTTGGTATTACGGTATTATTCGCTTCTACCTAATATCAGATCTGGAAAATAATTTGGAATTTTCACAGTTCATGGAACTTCCTACACAACACGTTATTTCATTGTATTCTTGCATGATCGTGATCATTTCTAATGAAGCTACATTTCAAGATGACATGAATCACAACGGGATGTATAACTACCAAAGTCTTGTAATGAACATAAAATATGAATATTTCAACAATGCAAAGGTACCTTCATGAGTGCAATCCGTAAATAGTGGCACCAATAACGGTACATCGTCGACGGTTTCCAGATGTGGTCGAATTGCAGCAGTACCACAAGGTAATTTGGCCTATAATTTACAAATCATTCTTTCAATTCATGATAAACACAAATAGAAACCAATTACTACGTACCGCCGTAGAAGTGTGATATTCATGTGTAGCTTCAAATTCATCGTTATCTAAATTACTATCATCTAAGTCAATGCCACAGTTTGTATCAGTCCTTTTACGAAGATTATTTTCCGGCTCCATAAGTGAAATATGGCAATTCCATCCCGTTTCGAGACCAAGCTTTTTCGAAAATGCCTGAAATGGTAAACAGACAATGGATTTTATAAATACTCATTAAAACTAAAATTAATGTATAAAAGCAGCTGGTTATTACAACTTTTTAACTAACCCTACTCTTTATTTCATTCTCGGATGAAAATAATACAAATCTTATACCAGCATGATCAAGGTGCTCAATCAACGAAACCACATTCTATTACAAAAATGCAAGTAAATGGGTTAAAATAATTAATTAAAATGGGTTTACAATAATCGCAATACGATGTTAGTAGCCTTTGTGGAAAAGCTATTTACTGCAGATGCTTAATTCTATCGTGTGTTGAGTATTATACCTGTCTCACTTCGTGCTCAAAGCATAGCATACCAATAAAAATTTGCGATTCTAACAACCTAAACAATAATGAACAAATGAAAATCAAAAATATTCTACTATAGAACAGCGAATCTGAAACGAACCTCAGAACTGCCTCTTCATCAGAACCTACTAATTTCTTATTACTCAGATGATCGGTAGATGCATCACTGCTAGACTGTATATTGTAAATATTATAAGATTAATTAATATGATTACAATCATGTTCACAACTTATACATATAATTATTAATTATTAACGGATACCTGCTTCCTGTGGCTACTGTCTGTTTGGCTATTAATCATCGCATACCTAACGTGCAAATCCCAAACGAGTTATGCGCTGCTATTAGAGGTTATATTATGTATTTACTTTACTTACGTTTCATACTGTGGGGGAAGATTAGATTCGACTAATGATACTCGTCGACTTACTAAGCAGCGATTTTTGAAATTTGAAATTTTCTGATTAGATTGAATCATAAAACATCAAGTTATTAGAATCTAGGCGAGATACCCCAACTTGATGTTACGTAATTATCATATCCCAAATTTCATGGACTAACTTCGACAATTGGCTTGTAAGCAAGAATTAGGCAATATCCCGTAGAATTATTACGTCTGAAAACATCCAGAATTGCTTTTCGAAGCCTTGATCCGAAAATGTTAAAGGTTTCGTCAATACTCTAATTTCCACTCAAGATCTCGTAAATATCTGACTAACCCACTATTTACAGGCAATTTACAGATACCACTGCCTGTCCAATATTCGGAGCACCGATCAAGAGTGATGGTAGCACCACCCTGACTGAACATTTGTACATTTCCTGTAAAGTATAAATAACTTAGCAAAACATAAAAAGTAAAATGGTTAAAATTAGTTTTTAAAGTAATAAACAATATAATTACCAATGCTTTCTTCTATTAAACATGCGGACAACATATACGGCACTCGACATCGTTTTAAAGGTTTAACATACTACATGTAATCCACCGTATTGATAAATAAAGGAAACAGTAATAACAACAATTTACGATATCAGTATATTTTAACTATTAACGATAGATAGCCAGAACATCTATCACTAGATCATTATTGATAATGCTATATTCATTTTTAATTAATTAAGAAACATCTAAACCTTTTGCACTTTATCAATATAGTAAATTTCTACATATTGCTTAAACGCCTTCTTGGCACCCTCAGAGAATCCTATTGCCAAACTTAGCTGCCTTAAGCTCCTGAAATTATTATAAATTTCAGGGAAGAATTACTCGTATAAGACTAGTAAAGAAATTTATTAAATTTAAACTACTGCGTTTAAGAAAATTATGGATATTATAGCGTAGCTGACCATTCATAAATCGTGATAGGCAGTGAAGTTTTGATGCCAAAAGCCTTATCAGGAATGTTCAATTTATTATGATTTGATAGATTGGATATTGTGACCAAGGCATTTAATCCCTATTTCATGTCGCAATTCATACAAGGAACAAAATTTATCTCGACTGAAATTGATGTACCCAAAATTGTCAATTGTAATTTTAATTGCGTACACAATAGGATCATAGCAGAAACTAAATGTATTAACTAGCAGGATGCGAATCACAATAGTTGTAATCAATATAAAAATACGGTACGATACGCACGATTGGTTTTAAGTTCTTTAAATAATTCTGCCATTGATAATCGTCAAATCTTAAATTATCCTATAAAAATAAGTAGCACAGTTTACAAGTCAGGTTCAGGATGAGTGCTGCCAAACCTAAACATGCTATCATCTAGTATGGAAATAAGTTTATAGTTTAACGTAAGAATTGCACTTATAAACAGTAGTGAACCAATAAAGGATCCTTTGTTTACATTGAGTATGCAAGGGTAACTAGACTCGTACCTGTGAATCTATGGATAAATCTAGCACTTTTACATGACTTATAACATTGGCATCTAGAATAGTATAAAAGGAGAAATTAATCCCAAAATTAGTTACTAGTTAAAGGAAATATCAATTTAAACTTTGTAACCTTTCATTTCGATATCTGGGTTTTCATTTGTAGCCGATTCCGAATATTGTGAAGAAACTTTACTTCCATCTAAAGAATTACGGTAGTTTGTGTAAGTTTGCACTTCACAAAGAAATTAAGTTTAAGATCAAATAATTCCAATTCTAACCTGAATTGAAAGTATTAACTGAAATTCGCTCTTCTATTTGACGGTCGTTGTCAGGATCAGGAAATACAACTTTACTAACAGAAGGATTGGGAGGTGATAAAAGCGACTGTTGATCCATGCAACAGAAGGACTAAAATAGAATATCAGAAAGTTAATACTAGTGATTTATACAGAAAACTGGTGTGAACAGCTATTACAACTTGATGCATTTTTTTACTAACTGTGACTCTTCCCAAGAGATGAACAATATTGCATGATCTAGGCAGAAATTGACTCGATCCTTGAACTATTTCCCAAAACGTACGAAATACCACTTTCCACTGTAAACAGCAAATTAATAAAAATATACCGATTACTCTTAATAGGTGCATACTCTTCTAACAACATTTAACAAATGTTCTCTTACCTCTACATCCTCCGGATTGTTTAATGTATTCAATACTTTAGCAACGCCGTATATATTACCCACAGTCCAAAAGATGGGATAAAATAATGGCAAGTATGGTATGATTACGTACACCTACAACGAAGTTACAAGTCATTTCTTCACATTATTGCATGCATTCTAGTCAGACGCAGTATAGCGAGAATGCTTAATTAGCATGATCATCTATCACATTGATTCCATTTTGTCACCTGCAATGTTAACATTACATGCCACCACGGACCGACATCATCAGGAATTAAGATCAATCTTAGAGCATTGCATAATATTGAAGCGCACTATGGATTACAGAGTTTCAATCAATAACGGTGCTCAACAGGATATTGACAACTGCAAAAAACATAAGCTATCTCATTACCGACAGTAGAGGTACAATATATTTAAACATAGCTTCTTGTATAATCCAATATTGACCATTTTCCACGGGAGAAACAGGTTTCTTGTCGACATCAAGCAATTCATCTCTAATGGCCACATGGGTATAATATAATAGCAGTATTAATAAAATTAAAGGAATAAAATGTACTTGCATTAGTCCTGTTGAGCTCATAGTGCTATTTACCTTGAGAGATTTGCAAGAAATGATTCCAGAACTAGGAAATTTCCACGAAAGTCTAGACATTCACCACCTATATCAGGTGCATTTTCCAATAAAGTAAACGTTTGGTCTGCATCGAGAACACATGCAGATTTCTTCCAGGATGAATCAAGCTAGGAAAATTTTTGAATGGCTGATTTTTTAAAATCATTTCGATTCATGATAAAGTAAGTATACAACATGTAAGAATGGATCGTGTTTAAATACCTTACAAACTTTGATTGGGGCTGTTTGTCCAGGCGCCAATAAGATTACGTCCTCTTCTACGAGCAAATTTTGGGGTAAATTAACAATATTTCCATCACGATAAGCCCAAACCATTTTGAATGAATGATTAATAGGGCGGTCTTTACTGATATATGAGATGTCTCCACGGAATGATTTGCCCTCGTCACCTAACAAATAGCAATGACAAACGTTTTACTACGGGTAGACACAATAATAAGATACATTGACACAAATACGACTAAACTAGAAACCAATAGCATCGTTTGGTTTATAGCGCATACAACAAATTCCAATTAACAATGTTAAGTTGAAGGCTTATATCTTTTATGTAATGAACACTACTTTAACGCCCTAAATAAGTATGATATTGCAGGCTTGTTAAGTCAGTAACTTAATATGCATCGAAAGTAAAAGTGTTGGGAAATGCATTTTCGTATAATCAAGCCGTTCTCTAATTTGGATACAGTAAACTAATTTGTAGTATTTTTTGTAGTGGGGTAAAATACCGAAGTTTTCGCTAAGAATATCTAGCATGCGCCGAGCTCTTTCAGTTCTTCGTAATTTTTCCTCTTTAATAGCAATATAAACATTGACAACACCAAACATGGTCAAAATAAGTATTTCTACGACATGGTTCCTGCAATATACAAACAGAAAGTTTAAATGAGTTTGAAACTAATCTCATTCCTGCATAGGCTACATTTGCGATCAATAAGAGAAGTATATTCATTGACATTTGAAAAATTTTGAAGAAAGGAACTGTATTCATGAACATTTACTAGTGGGCATTTACAATTTATCCGTCTAACACAAACATCTTACAGTTATGTTATGGCGTTATCGCGTTCACAGTTAACAAGCTATTCAGTACTTACACAGTACTACTGAATATAGACGCTAAGACGAGCATGCAAATGGCAACGATAAGAAGTCCAACAGATATTATCGACAAAGATGAATGTCGATTTCTACTCAGACTTAAGATTAAACTGCGCCAGCTTTGGGAATCCAACTTTGTTATATACAATTTGCATTGTAGCTGTAATTCATTATAAAGCTTTTCAAATGCGGTACGGCTATCTAAGCCCCTATACACCTTATTCTAAAATAACAGAAAAAAGAATGCAATGTAACTTTTATATTTCAACTAGGCACTAAGGAATAAAATATTATCAGTCTCATATTTATGAGCGGAACTTAAAATTGTTAATCTAAGTGTATCTATCTAGATGTTATTGAGCACAAGTAGGTCAATTCACGACACATGTTATGTCATGAAAATTGACTTGCTAGTCATTAATACAAAAACCGAACAATTTGGTCAATCAGACAGATTCTTACCTTTTCCTTGATAAACTTGTCGATATTTATTAGATGTACATCTTCTTTATCCTTGTAGATAAGAAATGGTAAAAATGAAATAAACATTATCCACTTGATTTTAATACTCTATAACAAAATCTGTAGGCACAAAAAAGTGCATGACGATTTTTTAATTATTTTGTTTGATTGAATACTCTATTTATTGAAAGCAGATCGTGGAATGTTTAACAATGTCTCCAGGTCTTCTAGTTGCATGCACAACATTCCTTTTGCTAAGTCAGGATATAGAGTCTAACGTATATGAATATATGAGTCATACCTTCTACACCATTCGCGTTATAAGATGATTAAAATAACTACTCCATCAAAGGATGAAGAATTAGGCATTACAGATGGTATTTGAGAATTAGTTAATATCATGCATTTCATACTCTTATTTAAACTCTTTAAGATGTACTTCCAACAATAAATGCACAGTAACATCAATCTAATTAATGCATTTGAGTTACGCCAAACTACAGTAGTTGTGGAATTGAATCTAATTATACAGGCCTACAGTACTATAGCCGAAAAGCAAAGAAGACCGATGCTAGGGTATTCTTTATAGCCTTCATTTAATGAAGCCCATTCCTTTTATTAATTATAGATGACTCGGTCGGTATTATATAATGGTATTGAAATTGTAATTATAATAAGACAAAGTCAAGAATGACGATCTACGTAATTAACTTGTCGTGCAGTCATCCGGGGCAAGCACTCTATTAATTAGAACTATTATGATTTATGATGTTAGGTGAAGGTAAAATATTTGGAAATAGGCAGAGAGAAGTGAAATTTGAATTAAAATCAAATCAATGGTCTTATTCTTTATCGGATTTAGTCTGACCATTACGACTGACTGCTTTGCCATGGAGTTGAATGTCATCCAAGGCATGATGTACTGTGAGTCATGATTTCAAACACTCTCTCGCCTAGATACAGGTTTATTCATACCTAAGTACTTCCATTATCAGTAAGTTGAATATTTTATTGACTTTCTCAATCATTGGTGCAACTGATTGATTTGGCAGTCATTATTGAGTTCACTAGTCGTTAAGGATAGGACACAGTACAACAGACACAATAGCAAAATCACTTATGTATGCCGGATTTTGCCATTATTTGTGGGCACTGTCAATAAACTAAAATCCAATCTCAATTGGATATACTCATTTGTGAATTGAAGTGCATCATCGCTAGTAAGTCCTTTTGCAATGTAGAAGTTCAAGATATACTAGCATGGATCGAAGTGATCATTTCACCGAATTGATACCTATTTAGTGTAATTATCGCTGAATAAAACTGTAGTATAATAATTAAGCTGAGAGGGTTGAGGTATTCCCTCTTTCCTCTCCAAGATGATCATCGGCAAAGTCTCATCATCGACTAGGATCTATGGCTTCCTTACCGTACATTCTTTCCTTTTCCAGCTGACGTTTGCCATCGTCGTCACTGCCTTCTCTCATTGACTAAGGCGAGATAAAACCAGCAAAATTGGCCACTACGTCGATTCTATGCCTTGGACTTGCACGATAATCCCGAGTTAATTGAACATCCGTTTCGATTAGGTTTATGTCCATCAACAATAAGAAACAGACGATTGCAAGATAGCACGTATCACCCTAGATCCAATAGTACCATTACTTTGTCGTCATGATACAATTTCAAGCGTTGGCAGCCAATCTTGGCGACAGTAGGTGAAATTCAACGCTTTAATTAGTGAGTAAAATGGCCTTGCAGTCAATAATTTGTCCAAGGTAGCCAAAATGGCGAAAATCCTTCGTCAATGTCTATGGCAACGTTGGAGTGAATGAGCCTACCGGACCGGTTGGTTTTTGGTATGCTTTAGTACTAGAATCAAAGCAATACCCCTATACTGTACTGTAGCGTATACTATACTGTATTGAGTCCTGTACACTTGTACTGTACTGTACAGTGTACAGTACAAGTAGTACCAAAAGTACAGTACGTACTGTACTGTGATACTGTAAAAAGTTTTGTTCCACACTTTCCTCCTACCGAAGTGATTGACTGATTACTATGATACAACCATTAGTCTACTGTAGGGTACTGTTTCAAACACCTTGGCATACCTTGTGTTAAAGACACTTGAAGTTGATTTTCCCCTTATTATTTATTTTTACTGTCAGTTTCGTATCGTCTTGGACTGCTAGATACCTCAAAAGTCGATGATTTCTCTTTAGCAGTCTTTGGTATCTGTAAATTTCTCTATTCTGCTATGGGTTCTCGACAGAAGGAACCTCTGTTTAAGCGTTGCTGGTGCTACGCCAATTATCACCGTGACTGTGGAATGATAGTCGTGGGATAACGTTGCCAAAATAACTTTTGAAAGGAGCAATTGCAGGTATTGGATCAAAATGGATATCTGGCCCTACAATTGGAAGTATTTTGCCTCTAGATGCATGGTTAGGGTCATGGATCTAGAGGCAAAAGTCATTTCATATGGTTGGGATCGGATATCCACGTTAATCAGAGCTGGAGGTATCCATGCATAAAAGGCTAGGGCCAAATTCCATAAAGTTACCTGCATTTGACACTGTACCTATGCATGAGCATCACTGGCCCTGCCTTCTGGACGTCGCTAAAATGATTCCAGTTGGCGCGTGGATCTGATCTCGGTAGATCAAGTGAGCAGAATAGCTTGGAAGGGAGTGATTTGAGGTAATCAGAGCATTAAAAGGCAACGGTAAAATTTCATTCCAAGCTCGAAATCTTGGTCAACTTTTGATTGTTGACAAGAAATAAAAGTTTTTTGGAAGGCTTGTACTAGGGCAAGTACGCATGTAATTTGGCCTGCGCTCAGATGAGCTACGGAGAATATACTGTACAACAGTAACATACTATTTTAGGTCAATAAAAAGTGACGGCGAGTCGCTGGTTCGTAGTCAGGGATCAATTCGAAATAGTATCCTTCTGACTTTAGATATATAGAAAATGTGTTCCATTTTAGGATGACAGTATAGGTATTAGTCAGGTAATATCTAAGTTTAAGTGCTTGCATGGAGTTGCTTGATCAATTGAACAGCAGACTCTGAAGGTCCCAATTTCACTTTATCAAGATTGGCGCTACTACTGGTACGGGTACTGGTACGGAGCTGCTTGATCATATCCAAAACAGGTCCTTCAGGTCTTCAATTTCATTCTATCGAAATGGCGCTACTGTTTGGATGCAGCTGCTTAGGTCTCCAATTTCATCCTATTAACTGTCAAGATAGGCGCTAGTACTTATATGGAGCTGCTTGATCATTTCCAAAGTAGACTCTTCAGCCCTCCAATTTTATTATATTAACAATCAAGATAGGCGCTAGTACTTATATGGAGCTGCTTGATCATTTCCAAAGTAGACTCTTCAGCCCTCCAATTTTATTATATCAACAATCAAGATAGGCGCTAGTACTTATATGGAGCTGCTTGATCATTTCCAAAGTAGACTCTTCAGCCCTCCAATTTTATTATATTAACAATCAAGATAAACGCTACCACTTGTATCGAGTTAATGAATCGGACGATCTTAAGCATTTGTGTAAATTTGCGTCTATACTGAATAAAGGATTAAAGAGGTTGAAATTCATCAAGCACTCAAATCTATCTGGATAAAATGAAATGGACGAAACAACAAGATGGCATATAGCACATTCTAGGGTAAAATCTAATTTTAGTACGATCAATCCATATCTGAACGCTAACCCTGGAATGTATGGTCTGAAATGAAGTCTGTATCAACGACGCAGCTTCATAAAGTAATTAAAAAACTACGGTTAGTTCATGGATCTTGTTGGATAGTTCCAGTAGTTGCTACTAGCCCTACTGAGCTACTTGATACATTGTTAGAACCCTAAAAATTCAGCTAGATCAACCACGCACACGCGTACGCGTATAAAGTAGACTGTAATCAATGACCTTCACAATTACTAACACAGGAATTATAAACTATGTAAAATATAACCTCTTATTAAACTACCCATAAAGTCGATAATATCTATGGGTAAGGGCAACAGTTAGATCAATCTTAATATAAAAAAAAAATGAATTAAACATCGCTAAGCTAGCTGTTATCGTTAATTTAAGATTTCTGAAATGAATAATATACCATACGTTAGGATAATTATTATTATATAATTACTTATGGATAGGATCTATTTTGCGTCGATATTGCAATCACAATCCGAAATGGAGTATGAACGGATTCCATTTTATTAAATTTTTCAAGCAAAATTTTACGAGTCAATATTGAGAGAAAGTTTTAAAGTATAACAACTTAGCTACTCCGGTAGCATATCCATTAGCTAAGGAATAATGGACATTAATTTTATCATGATTGAAAAGCGGCCACTCTCAAGGCCTATCAATGAAACCTTCTATTGCTGGGCATCAGCTTTATAAAAGACAGATGGAATAAATTATAATTGCAAAGTATGTAGCAAGTAAAATATTGTCAATACGATTGTAGATGAGATACGCAAGAAAGAAAGACAAAATTGCTCATGATTAAGTTAATTAAGATTTTAAATCTTAATACAGTATTTCATTCAGTACCAACCAGCGCTAATCAAATTCTAGACTACTAAAGGTAGTCCATGATCCAATACGGCGAAAATGCGGTTATAAAAATCGAATTACAGTCATATCACAATCAAAAGTATTCATGATTGCACGGTACATCAAGTCAAAATTTAACTCTTTAGAAGTATTTTATGCTTTCGACAATGGAAGTCAGCATTTCAATGTCTAATACTTTCGAGATTTAAATGGCATCCTTACCTCGAGTGATATCTTCACTCTTATGGCTAAAATCGAGTAAATGGGTACTTCCTGTAGAAGAAAGACCTTGATCTTTTCTATAATACCTCCAACTTAGAATAAATAAGAAAGTAGACAGAAGCTTGATCATAATTAGGGATATATAAAGGTACATTCCCATCTTTCTACTGTCATAAAACCAACAAGTCGACGAGGAATCGCATTCGTTGCCCCAGAGTAAACATGAATAATCGATAAATGCTCCAATTAAGATTGGTCCGGGTAAATTCCCAGCCAAACGAATCATAGCTGAACTGACGCCCAAAGCATAAACTCGTTGATTTTCAGGTACAGATCTATCATCAATTAATATGTTATTAATTTACCACATCAATTGTATCTTTGACGCAGTGCGCACTTATTTTTTTTATCAAATCATTTCAAGAGTATTGAATAATATAAGTATACTCCAGTCTTCCTGACATACCGTAGTAAAGCTTCGGTAGAGGGAACAGTTTTCGACATAACGGCAACTATTGCAATGCTGATACCTATAACGAATGGTTTAAATTCTTGGCAATTTGATGTGCACGATCCCTGAATAGCATCATAATTGGAATAGGTATCGCTTGCCTTTGGGATACAGCTACAGTTACGATAAGCCTTTAATAGAGTGAAAAGAAGCAGATATAAGTAGCTTTCACTTAAGAAAATTATAAACCTATTCCGATTTAGTCATTCACAAGTGAACTAAAAAGTAGTTTTAATGCCGCTTCCTTGCAATAAATTATTGCACGATAGTGACACTGATAAGAGAAATAGTCTGTACGTATATCGTAAATAGAAATTATCGTACACCTAGCCTGATTTAGCAAAATCATATGCGAAACTAAAGAGCAATTTAAATTTTATATCCATTTCATGAATTTTTGCAATATTAAAATAATACTGATTAGAGAACAGACTATTGCACGTCTAGAATTCTATGTAAGTAAGTCTTACATAGGTTAAATTTTCCGCATCAAAATAACTTGTCTTGCAACCAGCATGACAAGGAGAGTAATAAGTTTTTCCATCTGATCCACAAATAGCATTATACTCGACCTTATTGCACATACAGCCTGAATTACAAATCGCAGTTAAATTGACTTCATTGAAGCTAATATTCCTAATTTATGGTCAAGAGAACTCTATTAACACAAGTTAATATCAAAAATTGAAATATAGATCATAAGATAGAGTCAAGTTTTTACTTACGATGTTAATGAATGACTAGTATATGGAGCATTAACTCCAGCAAATGGAAGACTATCACAGCCAAGTAAGAAAACTGCTGATAGAGCACAATCAACAAAACCAAGAATACAAGCCAACTTAGCTGCTTTACGACCATTCATTCTAAAAATTCTTACAAGCATACCACCCTAAGGAAAAGTGAAAATAGCACGAATTAATTTGAAATAATTGTGGCTATCGAAACTGAATGAACTACACTCAATTTCATCTTTCGAGCATCTCTATGGGGAGTATTACAATTGATCTAGCTTACCAAAATCATACCGACGCACCCTCCTGGTACAGTGATGAGGCCTACAGTAAAGCTAGCTACATAAGAAGGTAAACGAAATTGTGTCTCTAAAATTTTAGGAAAAAACCAACTGATTCCTATAGTAGCGAGATACTCTAATATTCCAGCGCATGTTAGGAAGACAAACGCTTTATTTCGAAATAATTCTTGGCTAGCTTTAATAAAATCTTTCAGGTTAATGCCATAATCACGATGGCCATTACTATTGGCCATCTCTTCGCGAAGCCGCTTGTGCTTTTCATATCCCGGCAATTTTCGTGGAAATCCAAAAAGAGGTACAGCAATGAATCCTAAAGAAGCAGCAGAGACGATAAAACAAAGCCACCAAGCACCAATCCAGCGTGCATCATATGGTGTTAAACCTTGATATAGCAATAGGGATTTTAAAGAGTCCCATAATATCATTACAAATTGTCTTTTAACTTAATAATGAAGTAATAAAATAAATGATGGCTTAAACAGATCATTTAACAATTCAATGAGGCAAGAAACTGTACCTGGTGGTGGTGCTTCTGGCCAATTGATGTACCGATTTAAAAAGATTCCTCCTAAAATATAGCCCGCAGCAGGTCCGACAACACTAACGGTATAAGTAACGGCGATGTATAACGGCGAAGAAACGGGATGAACATTTTCATCGATATAAGCCGTACCAACATTCCAGATTAAATTATTCCCTGCTCCCATCAGTAATTGTGCTACTAGAAACATGTAAAAGAAATAGCGAATGTTTGATTGTCCGCCATGATGAAATTCTTTATCGCATAGATTGGATGGTGTGGATTGCGTTTCTAGACATAAATCGCTATAATTGGTGGAAGAACTGACCACGGTGTATGGATCCGTGACGAAATGAGGCAATGAATACATCAAAGCCCCTAACGCCAAAACGATCGCACCTACACTTAAATATCTTCCTTTATGATGTCGACCAGCGAAATAACTTGCTAATATACCAATGATGGCGCTGGCAATTTCGCCAGCGGAAGGCAGCGCTCCTGTTTCAGTGCTTCTCAACTCATAGCGTTTCTCTAATGATGTTACTGTTACCGCAGAAAATCCAGTCATTAGCATTCCGGCAAAGATGATATACAAGCAAATGACTGTAATTAGCCACCATCGATGATTAAGAATTTGAAGGCATTGAGGTTGAAATGGACCCAGCCCATAGCGGTACATGGTTGATTCCTCCATTTCATCATTTTCATCCCTTTGCTCCATTGCTGTAGAAATACCACCACGGGATGAATTGGATGAAGTTGTCGGTAAATGTTTACTTTTAAACATCGCTTTCAGGCCCTCCTGTAAGATGAGGCAAGAAAGTGCTATGAAAATTGTTGACAAATAATTTTTATTTGTAGTCGGATCCAGTCGTCCTTTTTGCCAACTCAATGAGCCCAATTCTAATTTACAAGACAATTAAACAACAATCATTGCCTTATAGCGCCATTTGAACCATAGCGTGAAAAAAAATCACGTGCCTAGTAGGAAGAATAAGAGCAAGACAAGATCTAATCTATCAAATCAATAAATTAATCGTCACAAAGCCGGAATCAATAATCTATATTGCACTGTTACGTGACAAATGATTAACATACAATCTATTACCGCAATAAATGAGAGAATAAATCGTCCATTGGGGCTTAGTTTTATACTGTCTTGAAGCTTTAAAATGATATTTTGCTTTTGGTTTTGATTAGACAAGTCCCTAAGTTGATTGCTAATTGTCACGGATTGCTTCAAGGGAAGGCTGCCTGCGTTTAAAATTGGAGCAACTCTTACGTTACGTTACCATCATACTTATTTATGTTATCATGCATAGTTTATATTATTAAACTGATGTTTTGGCGATATTTCCTCTTAATATACTATCAAACATTCACTAGCATTCATCTTTCATTTTAAGTTGAAGTCGTCGACGATATTGGTTACGTAGTTAAGGACAGAAATATCGCGATTGCATAGTACAGTACTGATTGTACGTAGATCAAACTAGCGTTCGTCCTTGGTTTTAGTTATCCTTAACCTTTGAAATAATCCTTGGTCCAAGGATTGATCGCTAAAGCATTATCGTTAATGGCTTGATTGCTTATTTAATAGAAAGGCAACAATTGTCTAAAAATGGATTCATTGTTATAAAAGTATATCCAATCTAAATCTAATTATCACACATAGTAATTGTCTCTAGCTGATAGAATTTAGAAAAAAAAGGCTTTTTCAGCTGACTTTAAGGATAGTAGGGCAAAAAATGAATCAGGGGAAGAGCCTAATCTAATGTATCCTGAGATCAAAAGAAGTGAATTTTAATATCCTCTAAGCTCATCTCATCAGTTCTTGTACAATTCGTTTAATCTATTTACTGTAACTAAGTTGCCTAATATCAAACTTAAGTTATGAAACAGAAGATGCTTGCTTAAATAGACCATCACTATGTTTTACGGTATAATTCAATCTACCTAAAAACATATCGTTAATCTTCTATTATGTCCAACATCATCATTTGAAGGTATCCGGTGTCTTCACAATGACAGGATATCAAGTCGCATCGATCTATTATCATGCGATAGCAAACTGGCTAATAATACGAGTATCAAATCTTTGAAATCGAATGATATCAAATATAGCTATCAATGTAATCCAATATGAGATGCATCTCTACACTTTGTGTCTAGGTTTTAGTTTGAATAAAATGCTAATGTGGATCACTTTGGGTTATGTTACAATGTACGAGTAGCGTTAAAACAAGGTTCATCAAGTTTGATGAAGTAAGGAAAGTAATCCATCGATTTCAGAAGTGTTGCAAAAGCGTATAATTAGCTTCACTGCAACTACGCTTGTGTCTATCATTAAATTTGCTAGAATGCTTGTACATGATAACCATCTACCATAATTCTTAAAATGCAATTCCAGCCGACTACAGTACAAATATTTTGGTTTATAAAAGAATGATCTAGTTTTTTTTTATCGTTCACTAGCTAATTATGATTTCTACTTGACTCTAATACATTTGTTTAAAATCAAGAAGCCTTACTCAACATAACCTTATCAATAATTATTTCTTATAAAACTAAGCATTCCTAATCCATGATATTGTTACATAGCGATAATTTCTAGCAGAAAATCTAAATAAAAGATAGTTGTATAGTGTGCTAATAAAAACTTACTGTAAAACCAAGCAATCTCTCAACGACACTTGGTAATACCCCTAATTTAGAATTAGATTTGACAGTGATAGATTCAACTGGAGTTAACACCTTCCTGTTTATTCTTCTTTAAGCATAGCGCTATGTTTTATCTTCTGCTTTTTACCAAAGTAGACAACCTTCCAGTTAATTTCATCCTCAGCCAAAGGAATAGTATTCCAATTTGGATAAATTTTGGTCTGAAAAGTGATTGTAATAAATCACCATAGCTAGAAAGAATAGCGCAATATTTTCCTGCCAAGTAGACAGCTTTCAAGTTACTGTTATTCTCAACCAAATGAATAATATGCCGATTTGGATAAAGTTTGCTCTGAAAAGGGATTGTAATAATCAGTGTAATTACCAATAATGAATAGCGCAATGTTTTCTCGCAAAGTAGACAGCTTTCAAGTTAATTAATTTTATTGTCAGCCAAATGAACAGTATGCAAATTTGGATAAATTTGGATCTGAAAAGTTTTTGTAGTAAAGACTGTAGGTACCAAAAAGAATGTTGCAATATTTTCTCGTCTGCTTTTTACCAAAGTAGGAAACTTTCAAATTAATTTTACTCTCTGCCAAACAAATAGAATTACTATTTGGTAATTACAGTCATTGCTTTAATAGCTTTTAAGACTAAAATTCAATCATTAATGACTGTACTTTACTAATCAGAACCAGAGCACATTGGAGACCCTTAGAGAGTCTTAATGGTCTCTAGAGCACGTACTGTAACTATCTTTACCTGATTTGCCACACCTAGCGAAAGATATACCGTCATGAAAGCCTCCAAAACCGACAGACTCAAGTAACTTCTAGATTAAATCAATCTGTTCCAAGTTCAGTTACAAAGATTTCCCAGTGATAGATAATCTACAACAAACAACCTTTAATCCTCAGCTGAATGAAATGGTGTATTGCGACTGGCCAATATTTGAATTAAACTCTTTATAAACTGCCAATAGAATTTTAAAATATCATTGGCGAATGATATAGTCGTTAATACACTACAACTCGTGCTATTTGGTACTGAAATTGTCATGCAATGGAATGGCATACTCCATTACTACAGTCGCTAGCAAACAGCTATATCAGTACAAGTTACTGTTAATGAGCCATTTTAGACCTTCATACACCGGTTGCTAACTCTATATATCTGGATAAACTGCAGTAGCCAAATCGATTAATCCATTACTTCATGCTTTACATCCTCTGAAGTTTAGTTTAAACTAATAGCTGTGTTATTTTATTCCATTTCGTTAAGGTAAAGTAGAATTATAATCCGAACTGAATAGAATACATCCAATCAACAAAGCTTTTAGGATGCCGAATAGAAATAAATGATTGTATCTCCCTCGAATATGGATTGTTGTGTTACTATTTGGATCACTCTAACAGTGATCAATCGTCGAATTTTGATATAAATTGAACAATTTGACAAAAGTTCTAGAAATACCTAAACGGAGAAGCACTTCTTACAAACAATTATACCATCTCCGTTGAGTATCTGCGGCCCTGTTATTGCACATTCTCGAGGTCATGATGACGAAAATCGGTCTACATCATAGAATTTTTACCTCTCGATGGTCGAAAGTATAATTGAATTGATTTGGTCAATATTCATGAATATCTAGATGTACAGCAGCAATTGTTCATGCTACAGTAATGTTCTGTTGTCCCTGTGTAATAAAAGATCCTATAGTGAATATTTTTATATCAACTCTTAAAAGCAAATGTGATTTCCGTAGATAAAATTTCTTTACTGTAAGTAAGCATTTCATCCAATCTTGGTTTTCTTATTGTTAATATTAATTAACGATCCTGTTTCACTTATAACTTTTAAAGGTTATTTTATTCATTGTTTCAATTGATCTTCTTTAAATCTATGTATGATTTTTGACACCAACAGGAGGGGATTTTATAATCCATGCGTCGAATTTAATATACTGTACGTAGTGCTGCCTTTAATAAAGAAATTGACAAACAGCAAATGATATACTAGTATGCATAGACATTGGCATTGGTATACCTTAAAATGAACAAACTCATGCAAGTTATAAGGTCTTTTACTCTTTACTTTTAGAATAACATTTTATCAACTCGTTCTTCAAGTTTTTATCAGTGAAATTTTGGATATAGTGTAACTTAATATTATACGAATGATGGACTAGTGCAAGAATCCGATTTCTGACTACGCTTTCTAGTTGAATGTTTTACAATGTCATCAAGATCATCATCTTATTTTGGTGCTTAATTTAGGACTAGTTAGTATTGCAGTTTGAAAGCTTCCAGCGGGATACAAGCTAAATTTCATCGCATAAGACTTTAAAGTGGACCACAAGAAACTTGTCATGGCATCACTCCTATGACAAGATACAGAGAAATATAGTAATCTTGATCATTCTTACGAGGAGATCGATCAAAACTAGATTAGATATTACCTGCAATTAGGTCCAATGAACGTTAGAAGCTCCTATGCTGTCAGTGCATTTATTACACGTAGAATATTACACGTTGTGTTACTTAGCTTGGGAAATGGAATTACTACGGAGTGAATGATAATAAATTCTTGGATATCTCTCCGATATAATGTTTTGTTTTTGAACGTGTACTTATAATTTCAATGGTGATAGAGTAACTTGTGGTTTCTTAACAATAAAATTTGATCTGGATAGTATTCACTCTGCATTTAATGAGCTATGATGGGATTATCATTCTAAAATCAGATAGGATGATCCTTTGAACTATTTCGAGGTGAGAAATTATGGACAATCAACCATGACTTTGAAATAATTCTTAGCATGTAGACGATGACAAAATGAATTCAATTGTGATTCATCTTGGTTAGCTTTAATTTTCATGGCTATGATTTGTTAGTCCATCTTAGCCTATTTAGCTACCATTGACGGTCAGATTAGAATCAAAGTCATGGGTTCTAGTTTTAAACGATTTATTTGTTTTACTCATTCCCAACGACTTTAAAAATGCATTAAAAGGTTATTCGATAGCAATCATGGATTCCATCTTCAAATTCATACTTTAGCAATCAATAGCCCAAAGAGACAGGGCTAAAACAGTATCATCATGGGTTCTATTTTAAAAACGAATTATTTGTTCTACTCATTCTCAAACACTTTAAAAATGCATTAAAAGTTTATTCGATGGCAATCAATTACCCAAAGAAACAGGGCTAAACGATATGATCATGGGTTCTATACTTAAAATAATTTATATATTCTATACTTGTACTATACTCATTCACAAACATTTTAAAGATGCATTAAAAGGTTATTCGATAGCTATCATGGATTCCATCTTCTAATTTATACTGTAGCAATCTAGTGCCTAAAGAGACAGGACTGAAACAATATTATCATGGGTTCTATTTTCAAAAACGATTTATTTGTTCTACTCATTCTCAAACACTTTAAAATGCATTGAAAGCTTACTCGAAGGAGGTAAGCTACTTCACCCAAAATTTCCCCAAGGAACATCATGGAAAAACCGCAGTTTCAACAACGAGCAGTGAGGAACAGGAGAAAATTTTGAGTTGAGTAGTCTCTACTCCAAGGTAATCAAGGATTCAATCTTTAAATTGATACTTCATCAATCAATTGGCCAAGAAGAAATAGGGTTAAAACGATATCATCCTCTTCAATAAATTTATATAGAATCGCACAAACGGATTGAATTATTGAAGAGGGTGATATCGTTTTAATTCTGTTTGTGCGATTCTGTACAGATGCCTTTTATTCAGCATGATGTTGAATCTAGTCCACAAAATTAGAAATTTCAGTATAAACTATCGTTTAATTTGGGAGAGCACAACCATAACCCCAATAAATAATCCTACTTCAAATGGTGCAACAATATTACCCTGAGGCCATAGATCCTCCATTTATTTTGAACAACCATAAACTCTACTGTATCATACACGACTGAACACTCTATACCACTGTATGGTATGCACCGCTTGCAGATTTCGCCCTTCTGGAGACCTGGACAACCTTCCTTGCAAGGCTCCGGAACCTTGTCGAGAGTCTTTAGTAGAACGCTTAAAGTCGCTGATGATCCAGTCTAGTCATCGTCTTCAACCTGATTTAAACTCTCCATCATCAAAGCCAAACAAACAAAAACGCAAAAGTGAGTTTACCATTCTCTCAGTCTTCCACTGTGGCCAAAAAGAAACAGAAACAAGGTTTTTGGTCCTTGCTACTACTGGACAATCGATACAAGTTAGCGGAACCATTTTAGTCAATAGGATATTTCGTGGGTGATGTTGATCCAGTCTTACTGTTTTGAATCAATGTAGCAACCCACTAGAGTTGGACCTGGATTAGACAACCATGTTCATGCCATCCATGTAAATATTCTAGGCTTGCTTCATCACTCTATTTGGATTGCAGGATTGCACAGACTGTATTGGTGTTACGTTATTCGACTTTCATTAAGGAATGGCAAAGTGTACAAGTTGAATCGATCCACGTCTCTGTTGATTTAATATAACTTTGCAGTAGAGCGCTTTGCAATTGGGTTATGGCGTCGTCGTCGTCACCAATTCATCATTTCTTCAATAGTTTTGTCCAACACGAGAAAAGCAGTTTACAACAAGCGTTGTTCCTGACTGCTGCTAATGTTTTAACTATATTAACTGCTGCTGCTGCTTTCTCACTGTATTATGTCTTGCAAACGTTCCTTCGTCCTTTACTCTGGGCTGTCTTACTGGGAACATTTCTTTACCCTTTCAAACAATCTGCCACTCAATCATCACGCCAATGGGTTAATCAACTACAATCAACGGGTACTCCATTAATGATTGCTATTGCCATTCTCCCATTTCAAACCATCGATACGGTAGCAGAAATGGCGGCAGCGGCGATAATGGAACGCTATCATTTCTTCATTTTCATTAGTTTAATTTTTGTTGTCGGACGTTTACTCTACGTCTGTGAACCGTTCGTCTTAACCTTTGAAGCTATTGTTCAAGTACTATGTCAAATTAGTAGTAATCTCGATATGATGTTGGAAAGTCAAAAGGTTTGTCATCATTTTCACTAGTCAAATAACAAAACCGATACTTTTCATTAATTCCATGACTTGATGGAGTAAAAATAGCCAGAAGATCGAGAGCTGTAGAAATGACCAGTAGAAATTTCTTTTACTTTGACTTTGATGAAGTTAGAAAATACCTTAGCCTAGACTTCTTTATTCCAGGATGCAAATGGAGGATCGATACAATACAATATCGCATGAGAGTACAGTCGAGAATGATCTAAAAGTTTCACAACTCTATTCTATTTTCGATATACACCCGCGGTTGTACAGTATTAGTCTAATAGTCGTCTAGATATGCTCACTGACATGACATCAGTGATCTTTAAATAGGAATGATTCATTATTTGAATCAAATGATTTCGACTGCTATGAGTGCAGCAGCTAAATAGCAGGATTCATGTCTAATGATAATCACTACGAAAACATGAACATCAATGATTAGGATTTTGCATTTATTGATGGAGTATCCTTATTTTTCTTACAGATTCTAGGACTTGGTGTATGTTTAATTCTCACTTGGCTTTTCAAACCGACCCGATCTTCATGGCTTAGCCAAATGTTATGCTTTGCCTTGTGGATTGTCCTTGGTTTTCGCTTTCTTTTCTGGCTAGGCTCTGCATCGATACCTATAGTTGCAGTGCTCGGGGTGTTAGCCATCCTAGGACTAATACCAGCAAAATCCAAGAAATTAGGTACGCTGGATTCGGAGATGATCAATAATTTGCTGTATAATTCTATCGTCTATCTGCTTGCAGTAGTGTATTGTAGTGCCTACGCCTATTGCAAGTTGCTACAATATAGCGATTAGATTAATTATAGTAGCAATAAACTTTGTAGTATCACTGGAACAAACAGACTCATACCACCGCCTGTACTGACGTTCCGAAAGTGCGAAGATTAGTGTAGTATCTCCCCTTGCAAGTGTTAAGGAGGCTTATTATAAATTCTACAGACGCTCTACGGTGTAAAAGCCGGCAGTTTTTAAGGGAGAGAGGATTGGGATTAGCAATAAACTTGTATTATAGTCAAGGTGTCAATTGTACCTACATTGGTTGACAGCTTAGATACGCAAGATAGTATATCATTAGTTGTCCTTATTCGCTTACTAGATGTATTCCTACTCAAGATTCAATATGGATTTGAAATGAATCTAATGCTATTTGCTTAATTGTCTTTAGATGATAATGAAGCCACCATACCCGATATAATGAGGAGATATACATCAACCTTCTTGAGAAGGCACAGTGAAGCAGTTGCATCGCAACAATCCACTACCTCAACGCAAACAACTCCAACTTTATTGAGAAATAAAACTGTAAAAATTGTCGAAAACGAGCAATCCAGTGTAGGCCAGAGTCGAGAAATATTCCTAGCTTTAATTTGGGCCTGCGTTATTCTTCGCGTTTGGATGCATTCGTGGCTGTTACATTTATTACCTGTGCCTGTGTTATATATAATCATCAAGAGAATATGGCAAAAGCTGAATATATCTCAGTACTTGTTGCATCATTGGAATAATCTTTTAGACACTCTCACTGCTAAGATTCAGAGTAATTTTAATTGGTTGCTTCCCAAGCCGTTGTTATTGTGCTTTAATATTTTACGACAAGGAGATCGAAAAGTAAGTCTATTGTAAATTATTTCATATTATGAGTGGAACTATTTTGAAGGTATATGCTTAGGCTTGAGACTAAAATCTATTTCAACCTTTTAATTTTAAATACATTAATTACCTCCTTGTACATTAATGTGTACCTTGCACACTTTAGTAACGCTAACTCAATTATTTATTTATCTACAGGCCAGCAATATTCTTAATACCATGTTGGACAAACTTGTCAGCGCTGTTATTATCTTAACTTTGATCATTTTAGTCACTCTATGTACAGTCATCTTGGCATTTCAAATTCAACAAGAAAGTGTCCATCTTGTTGGAGTGACTGGTAATTTAATCAATGAAACTGTAACGAGACACCCTGAGTTTAAAAGGTATTTCTAGCTAAGAATAAAACATGACAATGGATTAGCATAGAATAATAACTGTGAATCTTTAATTATTCGTCTTATTTTGACATTCATTTAACGTTTTTCTCTTTAATAATTTGGTACACCGCCTTCAATGTCAAACTAATGTATAAATCATGCCATTGAATCTAACTTCACTTTAATGCATTGTAGTTGGCTCCCTGAGAAGGATCAAGTTGGAAAATTTATCGATTCGATCGTCAGTAGTGGATATCAGTACGGAAAGGAATGGATTCGATCACAGTTTAAGGGAGTTCAAAGTGACAGCAATATCAATATTTCAAAAATTGAACGAGACATTGTTGCGGTCTTGGACGGAATATATTATCAAAACTGGATTGGTATGAATCGCGGAAAATTAGGTCATGGTAGCAATCACTCATTATTGAACGATAGCGCTACCTACTCGGATGATAGTATCCTCGCTTCGTGGAAAAACTTATCTTTTAATTTTAGAAAGAATTTTGATTATAAAGAAGTTATAGTATTTATTAAAGAAAATGTCGACATGTTTCTTTCGGTAGGTCTTGAACCAAAACTATCTTTGTTAGATTACTATTGTTTGAAGGATTGTAGTTAAATACTGAATCCGTGCTTATGTATACAGATTATATCAATGTAGACAGAGACATGAGGATGTATAAAGTGCAATGACGTACGCATTGTATCAGAGTGCTACTTTATAGTATCGTGATTCATAAAGTTTCCCTTTGCAATGGTTATAGGTTTTACGATCCGGTTTTGTTATTCTTCGAAGTAATTTGGACATTGCTTTTCGATTGTCGTACCTTATTTTTTCCACCCTATTTGGTGGTGGTACAGCGGTGATTAACTTCTTGGTCGATATTATTGTCTTCTTGACCACTTTATTTTATTTATTAAGCTCATCGGAAAATGTTTATATCCCTGTAAAATGGGCGATGGATTTGATACCATCAACTACAGGAGATAAATTTGGTCAAGCAGCATCGGAAGCAATTCGTGGCGTTTTTGGTGCCTCATTCAAACTTGCAGCCTTTTACGGCCTTTACACTTGGTTCACACACAGTTTATTTGGTGTAGAACTAGTTTGCATTCCCTCAGGTAAATCACTTGGCACCGTTCAAGAAATGATTCACTTCTACACTTTTGCATGAGCTCTATAATGTGCCGTTCTTTTTTGATGCTTTAGCCATCAACTGTCCGACAGTTGATTGTAGAATTAAAGTGAACGTCTAATCAATAAAATGTGATGCCATAACCTATACTATTCTACTATTCTTGATACGCGTGAGCTAATTTGTAATTTAATTTACAGCACTTAGCGCAATTGCTGCTGCTATCCCGTTTATTGGCACCTATTGGGTGGCTGTACCGGCGGTACTGGAGTTATGGCTTGTTCATGATAATGTGATACTTGCTGGACTTTTACTTTGTTGCCACTGTTTACCTCCATATGTCATTGACATAGCGATTTACAGGGAAATAAAAGGGTACGTCCTTCTTTAGAAAGACGATCTAAAACACACGGTAGCCTTTTTTCCAGCAACACTATATGAATCATTTGTATTGATAATACTATTTGATGGTTGCGGTACTACCTTAGCTATGATAGTATTGTCGCTGTTACTTGCAATCTCTTTTTAACTTGCATGGTGTCTATTGATGTTGTAATGCTGTATTATTTTAATTTTTATAATAGTGGAGGCCATCCCTATGTGACTGGCTTAGCTGTTGCTGGTGGAATTTATTGCGTAGGCTTAGAAGGTGCCATTGTTGGGCCTGTTCTGTTGTGTTGTTTCCTTGTTGGATGCAATGTCTATAGTGCAGCTATCAATACCGAGTCATCAGCTGGTGTAAAAGAAAAAAAGGCGAGAGATTTGAGGAAGGAGACTTTATCAAGGTATGACTGAAATTAGACGCATTTTTGCATTGTAATACGAGCACCGTAGATGATAATGAGTGAAAAAGTTGACTGTATTATGGCAAGTCAAAGCATTCTAATGCAATGATTATTATTGACTCTGAAATATTACAATATTTTGAATAGGTCATTTTCGGAAATGCATTGAATAAGCTTGGCGGTTGTAAGCATTTAATATGCTTAACAACATGACTTTTCACATCGTTATCTCTCTTTTTGTGCTTTTTGCTATGAAATTTTCTTTCTGTAATTAATAGTGTTTTTATGGTTATGACGTTGTCTTTTGATAACTAATTATAATGGAATCACTGAATCGATCACCATTTGCCATGGAATATTGCAGTCCGAAGAAGCAGTCTAGGCTGTTGTTAGCGTTATATAATGATATAATATAACCATTTTACACAATTATCACTTGTTTGATAGATGGTCATTATTATCGAGAAATTTTTTTGCTCTAATTTAACAGTATTTTATGCAATTGACCATTTACTAGGACAACTTTTGCTATTTTTGAATCTAATATTAATCCGCTATTGAATGGGCCAGTTCTATAGTACTGAAAGTATGCTTTATTAGGCCACTGGATATAATTAACTAAAATCATTTCATCCTACCTATCCGCATCGACTGTATTTTAGGAAAATAAAGTGATATTATTGCATTGTGAAATACGAATTGGCATGGTCGATTTGTTCTATATCGTCGATTGTGAAAGTGAACTAGGTCACGTTTGAAGTTTGATTATAGCGTTATGGTTGATGCTAATGGGCCGATTTTATCGCTTTTTTTGATCTGTCATAACAACTGATCCTATTGATTGTGCACTTGCATCACTCTTTCCAATCAAATTGTAAGTTGATTGAAGACTTGCGTTTCAAACGGCAATCTGCAGTTAAAGCGAATTTCTGAAGTAAGTGATTACTTGTACAGTATAATATAATCAATAGTAATACAGTTGCTTTCATGTCAGTAAGTCATAGACGAGGTTAGCAATTAACCTAGGTACTGACTTGTATTAATATCTGTTATGGAGGGTCATGGTGAATTGATGAGTGAGATCGATGATGGATATACGAAACGATGCGGGGTCCAGTTTATTTCTGCAATCTTGCACGGAACTACGCTAGTGTTGTGACAGATATACAGGAAGAAAGTTTTCTTCTATCTCGATAACTTCCACTACAATATGAAAGTGATTGCAGTTGCAGTAGTAGCCTAGAAGCATAACCAACTTGGTGGCTCCTTCTACTGTATATTTAATCGTCAACTGTAGCTAATGTTTTGTTTCATGGTGCAGTACACCGGCCACTACTCATTGAGTAGTTGTAGCATCTAGAGTACTGATGTAGTGTACAACTGAAATGGCCAGCTCAAGAGTCAGGCTGCCCATTTTTGGCCAAGAAAGTTGCTAGCCGTCCCTCTCTTCTTGCCTGGTTTTAGTATGAGAATACTGTACACCATTTCAAGTTCTTAATATTCTACGATACAGTACAGACTACAACACTGTACAATGTTCAGTAGGCATGACCAACTCAATCTGTCAGCCAGGTCATCTTTTTTGCCAAAGGAGAGTCGGTGGCAGTCTCTCTCTTTCTCTCGTCCTGTTTTCATACTCCCTATTTTGAAAGCCATTTAAGAAAGAGATAGAAGATACGCGTAGATACAGACTAACAGACTACAGTACTACGTCGACGCTTTCACTGCAGACTGTCATGCTGTATCTCTTTCTTGTCCTATTTACTGCTCCCTATTCTGAAAGGCATTTGAAGAAAGAGATCGGAGATAAATGATGTATCTCTATGTCTAGCGTACAGTAGTATCTCTCTTTTCTTACGCTAAGTTAAAAAGGGAGGGACAGCAACCGACCATTTATCGGTAAAAAATGCAAGGATCGACTTTTTTGTGGTCACTTTACTATACCGGGAACTTTTTACCAACGCACTTGGTCGCTCTAGTCCCAAATTTTCACTTGTGTTGTTTGCAAATCCCCACTATAGATCACCCTAGGGGCTTATTGTCAGATATGATAGTGTACAGTATTTTTCGGCAGTTTACTGCTTGAGTAGTCCATGCTAATGGCCGGCCTGGTCATAGACGACAAAAAGCAGAAGAAAATCTTCATTGAGCATAGTCTACCAACGCGACTTAGTCGCTCCAGTCTCAAATTTTCACTTGGGCTGTTTGCAAATCCCCACCATCGACCACCCTAGGGGCTTCTTGTCCGAAATGATAATGTATTTTTCAGCAGTTTACTGCTTGAGTAGTCCATGCTAATGGCCGGCCTGGTCATAGACGACAAAAAGCAGAAGAAAATCTTCATTGAGCATAGTCTACCAACCGACTTAGTCGCTCCAGTCTCAAATTTTCACTTGGGCTGTTTGCAAATCCCCACCATCGACCACCCTAAGGACTTCTTGTCCGAAATGATAATGTATTTTTCAGCAGTTTACTGCTTGAGTAGTCCATGCTAATGGCCGGCCTGGTCATAGACGACAAAAAGCAGAAGAAAATCTTCATTGAGCATAGTCTACCAACCGACTTAGTCGCTCCAGTCTCAAATTTTCACTTGGGCTGTTTGCAAATCCCCACCATCGACCACCCTAAGGACTTCTTGTCCGAAATGATAATGTATTTTTCAGCAGTTTACTGCTTGAGTAGTCCATGCTAATGGCCGGCCTGGTCATAGACGACAAAAAGCAGAAGAAAATCTTCATTGAGCATAGTCTACCAACCGACTTAGTCGCTCCAGTCTCAAATTTTCACTTGGGCTGTTTGCAAATCCCCACCATCGACCACCCTAAGGACTTCTTGTCCGAAATGATAATGTATTTTTCAGCAGTTTACTGCTTGAGTAGTCCATGCTAATGGCCGGCCTGGTCATAGACGACAAAAAGCAGAAGAAAATCTTCATTGAGCATAGTCTACCAACCGACTTAGTCGCTCCAGTCTCAAATTTTCACTTGGGCTGTTTGCAAATCCCCACCATCGACCACCCTAGGGACTTCTTGTCCGAAATGATAATGTATTTTTCAGCAGTTTACTGCTTGAGTAGTCCATGCTAATGGCCGGCCTGGTCATGGACGACAAAAACAAGAAAAATGAAATCTCCATAGAGTGTAGTGGACTAGTGGTCCAATAGTGCAGTACAGTACATCACGACTACAGTGTACAGTACCGTTTAGCAAGCGATTCTGTGCACTACGGTAGGCTGTGGACAGGACGGACGGCCATTCAGTACTCATGAGTCATACTTAATGATACAGCAGGCGTAGTCGCTCGCCGACGATTGAGGACTAGAGGTGGACAAGGTTGCGCTGATCATCGCCTAGCATTGGAAGATTATTTTCATCACCTTTGCTAGTTAAGTAAATAGATCAGATTCTATCACCATTGGCCTTGAAGCAAGCAATTCATTGATATTCTCTGCCCGTGGTGGTGCTATTAACGGTGTGGAAAGCAAGACGAAGCAGTTGAGAAAATAGTAAGGGACTAGTCACACGTAGGCAGGGTTGGCGAGCAAGAAATGAGGACAACATGGGAAGCTACCTTTCTTGTATGTCGTCGGGAGGTAATGGAAGATTCACGGCTATTTTGCCTGGAAAGCCTGCCCATATCGTTATAATTGGTAAGGAAAACAAACCATCATTCTTGTTATAGGATGAATATTTTTTATTGTTTTTTTTCACTTGTTCTACGCTAGTCGAGACGGTTTGATCGCAAAGGGGTAGAGCCATCGCATTTTCAAATGTTGATGTTAACATCTTGATGACAACATGGAGTCAACACGACTGTCAACATCGATAGAAATGCCGATTGCATCTTCTTCTCCTTGACCCAATTCTTTCCTTGCTAGAGGCAGACAGATTGTTTCCTTCATTCTTTTTCCTTGTTAAAAGGGAAAGAGCCGATCCGATCTTGACCCCATTTTTGGATCACGATAGATTCTTTCTATGGGCCCTGGTGCCCATGCACAGCAATGGCCGATAGGGTCAAAGTGGACTAGGCTAGTATTGCATTTTTCCTTCAGTTAATCGATTGTAGTCGATGGACGAAGAAATGGAGGGTGAGTAACCAACGCTTGACAACATGAATTTGATTCAAACTGTGTGTCGAGGACATCAATAAACTTGATGTCTGTTGAGTAACTGATGATGGAGGCGAAGGAAATGGATCAACATTTCTATGGGACATACCGGCGTTCTATAGCGATGCGCCGGTAATAACATTGCCGTGGATTCATGGCCCAAAAATGGACAGTAGTTTATCTTGGAGAAAAACAAATTTAAAGAGCAAAGAATCGCCAAACTTCCCACCTCTCCTCTCCTACTTGAGAACAAATGTACCTTACTCTCCCCCATTTATTTTCCATTTTGGAAGAAAAGTTGTAATGTTCTCCACGGCGTAGTATTCAAGAAGTTTGTTACTGTTCAAACGAGTACACGTATACAGCACCATGACAGTACATTGATACATTTGGAGCATAGATGACAAGAGTCATAAAGTATGTAGGAAATGGATTAAAAAGACTGAAAGTAGTTAAAGGGCATGCGAAATTACCCTAGACTATCATTAAATTATAGGTTGGACACGATCCAAAGAGCAAAAAAATCATTATTGCCCTGAATAGAATCATGTAATCATCACTTCTCCAGTGGCAAGGAAATACAAATTTATTTTGTACAGCAATCGCTTTATGTTTTGGTCAAACTGGACTTGAATAGCCTGGATATTGAACCCTAGTCTTTTATGGTTGTGTATAGTTGATACGCGTATGTAGAATCGAGAGCCAACCGATCAAAACCATCTTAGAATAGGCATGGATTTATAGTCAAACAAGGTAATATTATTTTATATCAATATAGGGAAAAAGTTGTCAATAAATGGGGAGGGATTGCGTTAAAGCGCGGATAATTTCAATTACTCTATAGCGATTAATATTATCGACTCATCGATCACTTTAGTGGCGATGGACAAAGAGGGTATTCTCAAATCTCAATCATGAGAATCACTACCGTAGTCCACTACGGATAGCAATTTACTACAAGTTGCCTTTTTTTGCCCTTTTTCTTTGACGTACGGGATTGCTTGACCGTCAAGAAATGTGGATACATGTTTTGGCAAAACAGTTTTGTCTCGCTTGATTTCCCCTATAAGCGTACTTGCAATCGCTTTCAACGAAACGATTACCGATTTATCAGCGTTTCACAAGTGCTCAAAGGATAGTTAGAAGGGAATGAAAAAGGAAATAGATCGAGATTCACTACCAATCCTGCTCATTCTGCCAAACTTTATGCCTTAGTAGTGCCATCAGCTACAAGCTGGATCAAGCGACTTGAACTGCTGATACCGTAAAGGAATGGAAGAATGGATTCTACTGTAAGAGAGGATGTGAAAGAAGCTTTTGTTTTCCATGGCATTTCTCTGATACGAATAGAACATAAAATACTCATTCCCCATTTACCCTCCCTCCCGCTAACAGTAGCCAAAACAAGTGAAAATATGTTACTGTATTCAAGTTCTTGTTATTACCTTGACAGTTATGTAAAAATCATACAAGACTGACATTATTATTTTCCTTTTGTGTTAATTTAACGGCTTAATTGTAATCAATGTATTAAATAAAAAATTTTAGCTGCAGTCGAAGGTCCGCCTCGTATAATACAGTACTCTCCATGTCTAGTCTATTTCTTACAGCATGCTTTGAATTACTTTCGAATCTTAATTAACTTAATTTTAATAAACCCTTTGATAGTGGGCATGAAATAGATCAATGGCTTGAGCAAAATTTGCTATTCATCGATATGAGTCAAGAAGAGATTGTAGAGCAATCGAGTCACTTTATGAGAAACTCCTTATTCTATGAGTGTTTAGCCAGAAAAATGAGGGTACCACTCCATGGCAAATAAATTCTTTGCTCTTCTTGGTGGTACCAGGAACTGCGGAGGCTATACGTTGTATTCCACTATAGTATGCTTCCTGACTATCCTTTTAGGCAGCTAGTTTTCTTCTTCTTTTGCTACAGGCATGGATGACTCAATAGTCCATGCGAGAGATAATACAAAAGGCTGAAAATCAACTGCCACATTCTAGGGTAAAGTATTGCTTTCGTCGAGCAATAATGTCGCTGAAAAAAGAAAAAATGCTCTTGGCAATATCCATAGCCATTATCGCCTTGTTACAACACTTGTACTAGATTTTTTTTCTACAGCCGGTTATACGAGTTTAAACCCATGCAAACCTCTTGTCGTTACATCTGTAAGCAGGTAGATAGAAAGTTTTGTCGATAAACGACAATATAATGTACCGTCTCTGTTTCCAAATGAAAATTTCAATCTCATGCCCGACATTGACCGTAGGAGAGAGAGTGGTACAGCACTGTCAATTGATGCGATGCCCATTGTCACTTGTCGTATATCTAACTGGATAATCATTGATGTCTTTAGGACTCGATAACTCCGGCAAAACGGCCATTTTATATCGTTTAAAATATGGCGAATTTTTCGAAACAAAGCCGACTCTCAGCTTTAATGTTGAAAATGTCACCATCAGCAAAAAGAAAATGAAAATTTGGGATGTTGGTGGCAATGACAAACAACGACCACTTTGGAAATCCTACCTACGCGACTGTGATGGCATCGTCTTTGTTGTGGATAGCTCTGATGAATTAAGAATGGAAGAAGCCAAGCATGAACTGTTAGCCATTGGCAAAAGTCCAGGTATGGCACATGTACCCATATTAATCTTAGCCAATAAGCAAGATATTCCTGGAGCGTTATCACCCATGACCGTAGCGAGAATGCTATCCTTGAAAGAATTGACAAGCAATCGGCCTTGGCATGTCCAACCAACTTGTGCTCGAAATGGCAATGGCATTCAGGAAGGGATGCATCAGTTATGTGAATTGACACGGAAGAAAAATCGAAAACAAATGGCTAAACCCAATCGGAATAGCTTCACAGCAGTAGCTTTGTAACCAATACCAAGAACGACAATCCATCTTCATGTCTATTGGGTCATGTAAGCTTCATAATCCCAGTCGTAGCCCTTTCTTGCCATAGTTTTACTGACCAATGGAACGGCATTGGTACATCGTGTGGATGTCAAGGTAAGAAAATGATTGTAAAAGACTACGGGGAGCATTGGAATTGCTTCTACACCATGAAAAATCAATGACTTCATTGACATGGACATGTTGATGGATAGGAGATGATCATCACTCTTTAGAATAGCATGTATGGATATACAGAATCCAACATTACTTATGATTGATTTTGGTCTACTCTATGCAAGCTTCTTTCCTGCAAGACCTTCAATCGATTACATCTTTTTTATTGATATTTTACAAAATGAAGTAGTAGCATAGAAAAATAGGTCTGTCTTTGTTAATATACTGTACTTTATTATTATTACGATGATTATTATCACGATTGACCAATTTGGTAGACCTGTACAATAGGAACGAACTCGGTTACATTCAGAATTGAACAGGATGGTATTCAGATTGATATTTCAAATCGACAAAACGTCTAATCGTTTATGCCTTATACTGTATAGTGTACATTACTCTTTTTTTTATAAGTTCACTTTGACCTCAAACATTTGCATAATAGAATGAAGTTGTACAGGAGGCATGATTGTTCCTGATACTGTGCTTTATGCATCAACTTGCAGTTTTAAAATAATCTACAGGAATGGTGTGGCATTTCATGCTATCCGGCTTTCATGTCATCATTCCTGGTCTGCGGTCGCATTAACTACACTTCTACCGGATTATCCGACATCAACTTCTACATCTTGATCGTATATTAGCTATATAATCCATTACAGCCTTGAGCTTTCGTGACTTGTATGTTACATATCTGTTCCAACTTTGGAAGATGGAATAGAATGAAAACGAAGGTATTTCTATCTTCAACACCCGTTGGCAACAGGCTGTCTAATTTACTAATCAAAGCAATGGAAATGTTTTTAATTCAATAGTAGGCTATCTTGAGTAAGATTACAATGTGTCACTTTGGTTGTGCATTGAGTCCATCGGTTGGTCAATGAAAGCATATATGTAATCCATGGATGACAATTCTTAACAGATATTTTATTATATAACCTATCTATCATCGCTAAGACGTACGTCAATTTAAGATATCCATAATATATATACATATATATATATAGATATATATACACTTATATAGACTACTTCAATAGAATGATGCGCGCATCTGTCAATGGTTTTTATATTAACGAAAATCACGTCTCTATAAGATATTTTCTAACTGTGTAACTAGATGTTGTCTTGAAAGTCTTATCTGTGCAACAATGTAGCGAACAGTAGCCAACACTAACATTTCAGTTTGTTACTGTATAACCAACTAAGGAATGATTCAATTATGCGAAATTGAAATGACCTGGAAATGTCGTGACTTGGTAACTTTATCAAGCTCTACTAACCCTAACTTGTTGTATTTCTTGTTCTTCATGATGAGAATATTTGAAAAGTACGGTTATGTTAGTATCGCGTTTCTATGTCTACTGTCAAATTTTGTATATAATCATGATTGAGTATTGTTGAGTATAGTGGTTTATTATTATATTTATATATATATATTATTCTATATTCTACAGTAGAATGCGATAATGAAATATTACACTCCATAAAGTGAGTGAAATAAAGTTAGAACAATTCTTACAGTGGTACAGCAGGCTTTTCTTTGTGACTATTGGCTGATACCAGTCGGTTATTACTTGCACTGGTAAATACTGATGGTATATTTTATTTGTGGCAATTGTGTGTGAAATCAAGTCGCAACGGTGAATACTGCAGGGTTACTCGATAGTTAACAGCGTACTAGTTTTATCTATTTAGAGTCTTTGCTGATACCAATCACTCATGAGTCATGACGGGACAGCTTACGGTCACCAAATAGTTCACGATGTACCAGTCTTTCAATTAATTTACAGTTTTTAACCGATACCAAACATTCATCGCTGGCAAGATGAACATTGGACAAGTAGTAGAAGACCCTGGTGGCGTGTTTAGTTGTAAATGAAATGAATTTACAACAGAGGATAGCTTCCAGTTACTAAACAGTTGATGGCGTTACAATTTTTTAATTTAGAGCCTTGGCTGATACCAGCCAGTCATAGCTTACTAGATAAGCTGATGGTTGCGAGTATTTTACTCGGTAAGTCAAATCAAGTCATATTGTTAATAACGCATTAGTCTTTAATTTAGAGTCTTAACTATTACAAGATGGACTGCTGATAGACACTTGTGAGTAAAGTAAAAGTTATAGCAGTGGATAGCATGCAGTGACTACACAGTTCTTAGTGTACCAGCTTTTATGATTAGAGTTTTAACTGATAGCAGTCATACGAGTAGATTGGAGTATTTTACACTACGCTTGTGAGTAATAACAAGTCTTTAAAGTCAATAGCGTGGCATTCTTCATAACTACACCTATACAGTCTTGACATTGATGAGCCGGCGAGAACTACTAGAAAAAGGAATTTTCTCTTATTAGTCCTTGCAGCCGGTCATTACTTCCAAGATTGACTACTGGTAGACGGCCACCCTGAAAGTAATTTACTTATAGACATGTGAGTGAAATCAAGTTGCAACAGCCAATAGGTCGGTCTTTCATGATTGGAGTCTTGGCTGATAGCAGCCAATTCTAATTTGCACGTTGGATTAATGGTACACTCGTGGAGTATTTCACTTGTGAGTAAAATCAATAGTGACTAGCGTACCAATCTTTCATGATGCTCTAGAGTATCGACTGAAACTAGCCGGTCATAACTTGCAAGGCAGACTGCTGATAGAATCTGATGGAGTATTCTACCGTACTTATGAGTGAAATCAAGCTGCAAGAATGAATAGTCTACCTAGCAAGATAGACTACAACTACATATTTAACGGGTATTTTAGTACACCGTATGTAATAGCTCATATTCTTGTCATTGCAAATTGCTAGAGTTAAAAAGACTGCAATAAAGTCTAGGCGCTCCAAGCTTGATTAGAAGCATATTTGAAAAGTCAGTTAGCGACTTGTGAGAATAGATCCAACAATCCCTAGCGTAAATCCTTGGCATATACAGTAGTACGTTATGTAGAGTGCGTAGTTGGATATATTGTGCAGTCAGGTTTGGCAACTTGAAATCGATGAAAAGTTTACAGGAAGCAATTGCCACAGTGGCCCCAAAGTTTTGAACACAAGCATTCAATACTACTACTGCAGTAAGTTCATTTTAAACCCATCGACCAACAATATCGAAATCTTGCAAAGGGATCCTTATCCCCAAAAATAGGTCAAAATACTACTTGTACTGACTTTCAATTTCTTAGCTGATGATAATGGTAAAAGATATCGAAAGCCATCTAAACGAACGTGCATGATAATTACATGGCAGTAAAGACAGACACTACAGAGCATCATTGTAAAGCATATCGCATTCTTTTGCTATCAAAATAGCTAGAAAAATACAGAATCTGACAACAACATCCAACTGGGAAAAAAGGTAAGAAGATATGGCATACTACATACTGTATAGTCTCTATAGTGTGTACTCCATTTAGTATCTGCTATGGCTGTTCTCTTATTCATCTTTTAGCTTTGAAATGAGAGTAAGTCATGTTATTAAATTACAATTATTTGCAAGCGTCCAAAACATCCTATTGACAGTAAACAACACCACAACTGTAGAACGGAAACCTTTAATAAGTTGACTTGGAATGAAAACATTAGATAACTGGTAGAACGTTGGAACGATCCGTTTTATACATAGAATAAGCATCTACCATGACAACGGAAGAGGCAGAAGCCATCAACATGGTTACATTATAAAAGTGACTTGAGTGAGTTACCTCTCAAGTCTATCGTTACAACTATCCATTTAAATACAGTGGATGTACAAACATGAGTAATCAGTCGCTATCTAAAGGTAAGCCATCAGCATTACTGCATAGTAGAGTATCATGATGACGATGTACTCTTGCAATGTACAGCATCAATCATTCATGTCGAGTCAGCACGATGAGGTGAAAGAGTACAAGCTTTTTGTAGCGTTGAAATGTGCACATCTTGTATCTAAAATGAATAACGCCAATGGCATCCTTAACAGGTATTTACTCTTTTAGCAAACAATAGGACTATGTAAAAGTGAAAGGAAACGATAAGATAAGATAGTTAGAAAAAGTCGTACTACAGGCAATGGATGCAAATTAGATGGGTTTAATTTTGAAGTGAAGGCCAATGAGTGAAAAGACTAAACACTTGAGATCTTGAACCAAATAGTAAAAGCCGCGTAAGCCATCAGGATCTTTGCAGTTATTTACATCAATGAGTGAACCAATTTTGCTGGTTGTAAAGCATATATGATCATCACCACTGACAATTTCTAATTCTTGACGTCCAATACGATCTGGTGGCGGCCATAGGGAATCATCTTCGCGCAAGACTTCGCTATCTTCCACGATCCGTTTCAACTCGTCCATCACCGAGCGATGACTAAACACTTCCTTACGAATCATCGTATCATTCTTATAATTAGAATTGTTGGCATAGCGTAGCAGTCCATTGGGTCTAAATTCGAATTCAAGAAATTCATGGCCAAATTTCCCTTTATGGCCTACATAATATCGAAGATAAAAGTCCGCCATCTTTGTCAGCCAGTACTAGTGGTAGAAAGGTCCACACTACAGTCTCACACGCGACAAACTTCAGCCAGCAAAGTATCGCTGCTTTTCTTCTTACCGTGTACAGTACAATCCTGCACAGTGTAAAGACTGTAGACAAATCAGCCAATACTGTACCCAGTACGATGAAGGATAAGGTATCTTAAACGGTACTGTAGAAGTGGGTGTTTTCCTCTTCAGTGGCCAGCAGTAGTTGAGTAGAACAGGTCACAGGTTAGGTCATTCTCCTATACTGAACTGTATACTGTACTGAAGCAGTGAAAGCGTCTACTGTTATAGTATAATCTGTACAGGACAAGACCACGACAAGACTAGTCCAGTACAATACGGTAGAAAGAGGACATGGTTTTGCATTTTCCTGTTCATTCTCCTATACTGTATACGGTAGCAGTGAAAGTGTCTACTGTCATACTATATTCTGTACAGGACAAGACCATGACAAGACTGTGTCCAGTAGAAAAAGGTTACAGCTTTCGCTTTTTCCTGGTCATTCTCCTGGATACTATAGCACTGAAAGCGTCGACAGCACTGTTATACTGTACTGTCCTCTGTAAATATATTGTACAGTACAGTACTGCTGTTTATACTGTACTGTACAATGTACTGTAGATCATTTGCAGTACAGTATACTGTACTGTTATACAGTACTGTACTGTACAGCTTTCGCATTTTCCTGGTCATTCTCCTGGATACTATAGCACTGAAAGCATCGACAGCACTGTTATTATACAGTCCTCTGTATAGCGTACAGTACAGTACAGTACAGTGCTACAGTATATTCTTTACAGTGTACAGTACTGTACTCAGTACAGTACAGTACAATGTACAGTAGATCATTTGCACTACTGTACTATACTGTACTGAACGCTACTGTAACTGTACACCAATGCGGAGAATTTTCTTTTAACTGTACGGTACTGTAGTCTTGAAGTCGCTGAAATGCAACAAGGTAACGAAACGCAATACGATACGGACATTACAGACAGACAGATAAACCTTCCCTAAGGTTGATCGAGCAAGCGATACAGGCTACTTTTAATGCTTACTATACAACTTTACTCTATCTTCCAACAGTATATTGTTCATTGAGTACAGTTATGGGCTACTAGAAAAAATACTTAGACCTGAAACTTTCCTCGGATGGACGGACTTTTCATATCAAATAAGGCCGAAAATATCGAAAAATAGTTTTACTCAGTAGAGATCTTCCGTATCTGTTCTCTAAATCATTCGTATTCATTTGAATAACATTCATGATCTAAATTGACTGTTACTAAGCAGAGCTTAGTATAGGCAATGCAATGCACTGTAATATTACTTACTGTTAATTTAGAAAAAATCAGTCCATTCCGAATCGACTGTCTCCTTACTAAAGTACTGTCGTAGTGAAATGTTGGGCACAATTTATTGACCAAAGTAAGCCAAATGTCTGTCCGTCCAAAGGAGTTTCAGAGTCCAGCAGTCCATAAAGTGAAAACAGTCGCCAATTGGACATTTGGTAGCCATGGCTGCAAAAAATTGCGATCTTCTTTGTATTCTTTTAGCAACAGCAGGAAATACTGGTGAAAAATTGTATTTCAAGTATCCCTATTCTCCTTTTCTTCACAAGAAGAAAGCCAATAAGCAAGGTAATACGAAGTGGTACATCTTGTATAGTACAAAGTAGCTATAATAGTGGCCGTACAAACCTCGGTGAGCAACATGTTTGTTGATGTCCATTTAGCAGCTTCTGCAAACTCAAGCTAGGCTTCTTGTTAATTAAGAACCATGAGCTAGTAATCAAGTAATTTACCCTTACGATAGGGACTTCATTGACAGACAAACACATTGTTGATCGATTTCATATTTATGATTTTGTGCTTTGCCCTTGGTCAATTCGATTATTTGCACTCAAAGAGGACCAGCAGGAACTCCGCTCAAGAAGGTTAGCTACAATTGGGCATCGTTATGCCTTGTTTTGTCTTCGCTTCTGTTCGACTTGATATTTTGTCGTCTAATAAATGATTTTCTCAATAACCCTAACTGAATCATGTAGTTGACGCTCATTATGGCTGGCTTATCCTACGATAGAAATGAAATATGAAACCGATTATGCATAATCTTTAATTCTTTCCATGTTGATTTTTAGTGTCAGCTTTACAAGTAACAACTTCACCCCAGATAGCTATATAGAATGTCCGCTATGGAGGTAGGCATAAATTCAATTAACAAGGGCATATCTGGCGTATGTTGAGCCTAGTTAGTTTTGAGTAGTGACTAAAAGATCATAGATGCTACCCAAAGTTTGTAATTGCCAAGCAAAGCCTGTCTTAAAGAATAACTATCACTGATTGATTGAATTATCCTACACACAGTATGTTGATTCGGTTGCTTCTTGTTGCAGTTTTTCTGACTCGCTATTGGCAAGTATTTTATCTCCTAAAGAAGCCATGTGCAATAAAAACTTCGAGTTAGCCATTGACGATATCCTATTTATTGGCTATCCAACGATCATGAAAGATGCTGAGGTAAAATTTCATCGTTGATGCAAAATTTTATTAATTTAAAATTGCTGCAGTAAATTGTATGCACAAGTACTATAGTTAAATAGGGTATTTTTTGCATGCGCTATGTAGTGGAGTCGATAGGTGAGTATTCATTAAGAAATTGTGCAAATAACCTTTTACAACAGCCTATAAACAGATCAACATTATTATTCTTAATAGAACCCAATAACGGCGTCATCTGCTTCCGGAAGTCCAGCATCTTCATTTAAAGGTCCTGCAACGACCAATTTACTCCATATTACATTTGTTCTACAGGTATCTTGCATAAATTCAGTCTAGATGTACTGGAATGTGCGTTCTTCACTGCCTATCTAAAACTTCTCTATTAATTGAGTATGTCGTATAACCAGTCTTGATAAAACTACTGCTTCAATCTAACTGAAGTTAATCACTTTAAGGTTGGTGCTCCGCCTGGACTTATTGATGCTTTTCATAAGCTATCCCAACGCATAGCTGCAGCAATCAAACATGAACAATTAAGGTGGAATGAATAAATCAGCATACGCTATATATTATACAGCAATCATTAACTTGTAAAACTTCACAATAACAAAATTATGGCTAATAAAATGGAATCACATGTTGATTGTGCAGGCGCGGTTACTTGTCGAAAGAAGTGGATCTCCTATCATTTATATATGACAAATACAGTGATCATGCAGAAGGTTGGTTTAAAAGCAAAAAATTATTTCATAAGAAAATTACTGTCATCAAATATATAGTAAAGTGAACGCAGGAGCACCATATTAATGCATTACCGGTTAATTTTGCTTAAATCTTATCGTACGAGTTCATATATTTCATGTAGCCTTATTTTGATTAAAGAATCTTGATGGAAAAATTATCTTGACTGCATAGTTAAGTATTATCGAATTTTGATCTCTATTTACGTAATTATAATTGCATCGGATGCCTTAGGTGAGACTAACTATTCAGTATTATATGAGAAGATCATAGATGAAAGCTTATTGGCACATCAACTGAAACAGTTATATGATCAGTAGGTTCATGTCATATGTAGATTTAACCTCTTCCATATTAGAGGAGGCTGTATAAATAGTCGGTTACGGAATCTGCTAAGTTAATTATTAATTTCGCAAAGACTTTCTTTTAACAATCGTTTTATGTAGTATTTATTCTGACGTCTGACGTTCCGTTTCATTGACCAATCTTGCCTAAAGCTATTACGCTTGACTTGTTGTAGTGTCACTAAGAATGAATTGATTCAATTTAAAATCAATAACTGGATAGATATAACATTCAACGTATCGGCATCGCTACGTGGGGGTAATGAATACCTTTCTGGCGTGAGTTTTCTTAATTCAACTAAAATGTGACAGTGTAGTGACTGTCTCTGTATTCTATCTCGTGAAGCAAAGATACTCAACTAAATGAAACTTAGTACGCGTGCTAAAGTGTTGATTTTTAAATTCTTACAAAATATGTTATTTATTCCTCAATCTAATGTCTTTATTAGATTGATGATCCGGATGAAATATGCCAGAAAATACAGTAAGTTAAGCTTGCGTACTATATTGATAAAGTACTAAAAGTACCACTACGGAAAATTTATTTCAACTGATGCTGCATTTCTTTCTAGGCCTTATCATTCGTTGATGATGCTAACCAATCCAGATAACCTGATACGACAGTTGCCGGGTGATTGTTCCCCAGCTTTGGTCCGGCTAATTCAAGTCATATCGCCTTTTCGAGGGTAATTGAAATATTTATTATTCGAACTAATTTATGATTTTGAAATGGACGCCATTGCTAGGTTGAAGGATGAGTTAAATCACAATCTTTGTATTCGGTATTTAGTTTACTAGCCCTGGCCTTCGATGCAGACTTAACACTAAATCAGGTATTTAGCAAATAGTTTTTGTCGTAAATCAGCCGTAGTATAATTTATAGCCTTGAAAATCTATGTTCTAAGGTTAAGCATTTGGCAAGTCACCTTGTATTTTGGGGTAAAGCATCCATTATATATCCCATCTGCGAAACAAATGTCTATATATTAACACCGGAGGCTCCAATAGATATGTAATTGCGCTATCACTCAATCTGATACATATGTGTACTTGCATTAATTAGCAGCCAAGTAATCTGCATGTTTTAATCGGATTTATTCTTCCTGTTTGCCCTTTCTAGATCATCACCATTAATGGAGGAATTCTCCAATCAATTTGTCGGCTTATTCATGCCCGTATTCATGAGCGAATTCTCTGCAGCTTTGCGCCCACTTAAAGAGCATATTGAAAAGTTTAACTTAAGTAAAGATATGGTAATACGATCTTGATGAGCTATATATATGTATTGAAATTAGAATAGAAACAATCCCGTTATAAAGTTAATTTATTATTTAGTTAGGAAAAATAGTTATTTGGATGCTAAAGAATCGAGTGATAATGCAGGTTAGCTAATAGCTCTAACAATTTGTAATTCTTACAAAATTTTGCAACATAAGCGAAGTAAGGAAAGAAGGTAATATTGTAATTCTTAATATATTGGTATGTATCCTTGTATATTGTAGCAACATCGATATATATTGCTGATATGTAAGCTTGAGATTAGAGAATTAAATTTCGAATTATACGAAAACAAATTAAGTGAAGAAGATGCGGAAAGGTTATCTAGGCAGTTACCAAATCTTGCATACTTAACTGACAGTCACAAGGCTACAATCATGAAATATGTGGGCACGAAGCAAAAGGAAGAAATACAGTTCTTTATCAGGTATTGTTGCATACGCAACCTATCAGTCATGATCTTTACGTTCGATTGGATAGTTTGTTAGAATTTTCATTACTTAAAATATTTATAGGCTATGCAAATATTTCGATGGAAGACACCATATCGAAGATATCATGTACTGGGAAAATTTGCCGCGCGATGAAATCTTTGAGATACTAAATAGATTTAATGAGATTACTATCACGTTTTGGTTAAGAGACATTGTGACAATTGCGACCTAACTCTTAATAGTGTAAAGATTAAATCAAATTATCGTGGTATCACGAGCAATTGTTCCAAACCGTGGGATGACACAAAAATTCCAATGACTGGTATTGCAATGAAAAATTGTTTCCAAAGTCTACTTTGTGGTTATCCCATACCATTGCTGACATGTAACACCAAAATGTTTCAAGGCTAGATATCGAATTATTGGCATACGAATGCATAGTTATAGCGTTACCAGTTTGAATACGATAATGCAGCACTATTTAAAATTGAAATTTACTTAATTAAAGATAGAAGGTTATCGCATCCTTGTATTGAGTCGGAATAGCTATCGTTGTGATAGTTAATAGATTTGTACGCTGATGTACCATGTCTGTACAGCCTGATGGATCCAATTCTATTTATATTTTATTAAGTCATTATGCTAGATTATAATCATACGTTATTAATTCAAGCAGTCGATGCTCGATGGTAGTTATCGCGACGCTTTCAGATATAATCGAGATGGCGTCAACACCCAGCGATATTTAGGAATACTTTATTGTATATTGTGAGAGACTTGTTGTATAATATCTGGTATAGAATGAATTAATAAAACTATTTTTACGCTTATTACGAATTACTTCATTCTACTGATTTATCCCCTGAGTAATTCTATTTCTATTCCTCTCAGGAAGCCATAAATTATTACTGCGAATCGCATGTAAGCTGATAATGAACATAAGTTTATTTTTCATGTTCAAGTAGACTGTCACTAACCTACGTCCTATCATCCATCAGCTAAAACTATTCCAAATATTAGATGGAGAAAATTCGTATTATTGGTATAAATAGTTCTCTCTGCATATACAAATTAGCTTATTGCAGGGAACCAAAAGATATAAGCAGGTATACAAAATCTTTTACAATTATAAGTTGAAACAGTGTTAGACTAAAGAGCACGAAAATTTGGGGTAATATTTAGGAGTAATTGTAATTTATGAAGCCTCACTAAATGACTATCAATCTGTAACTATATCACATTTTACAAAGTATGGTCAGTTAAAAACTTAAATAAGATAGAATATTTTCGATACGAAGTATTCCAATGGAAAGGTGAAAAGGATTTGGGAGATAAGAACGCTAAAGATCATCGAAAACTAAACTTTCCGACAAATGGCGATTGGATTGACTTCAGGTCTAGAAATCCAAAGCTTAAAGTTTCCACCATATCAAGGCTGCCTTATTGTCACTTCATCAATGGACAAAAGAAACTCTGCGGTAATATGGTTACGATCGTTTGCACTTACTATATGTTTCTACGGCTCCTTTCAACCCGTTAAGTAACGTATTCAATTTTCTGTCTTACAAACTTATTTTCTTCTATTTTTCTGTGGTTCTTGAATCATATGTAGGAGCACATGAGAATGTCTCAGTAACATGCTCAATTAATAATAATCTACAGTTGCAGCTATTCATATGAACGATGAATTTATATACTAAATTCGATGCAATATCATATATGACAGTACTATACGCTCCAGTGCGGTAAAATATAATGCAGTAAACCACATGAAGTGTTAAGAAAGCATGCAGTATATATTATTAATTACAATTCTAAATCATGATATTATAGCAGACGTGGTTAATAGAAGATAACGGCGAAATCATGTAATAAATTATTAGTTGAGCAGTCGAAACTAAAGGATAAGAATGCATTTCTAAAAGCTCACAGATGTTTTCATGGTATCGAACAACCATAAATGCATCAGTGAACGAGAATGGAATTATGAAAAGAGGATGCCTACCAAGTTAAGGCACTCACGCACGATAGATTTACCATGTTATTTACCATTCCTGTTTGCAAATTATAATCAGAATATTGAATTATTTATCAATGATGTAAATGTTATTGTATAAAATGCTTAAAGTGAATACAGGCAAATCTCTCTCTCGTAATACTCGCGTACTGTATAAATACTGAATTCACAATACTCCAAATAAATGTTGCCATCTGTCTGAGCCTCAATCATTGCTGGATGTTCTGTACTATTTCCTACTTCTATGGACTATGTTGGGTTTCATACTTCCGTAAGGCATTATCATTTCCTCAAAAAGCTTTGGTTTCTCAACGAGATGTTCGCTCTAGAGAAATTTTCTATCAGTAGACTAAGATGTTCAATAAATCCTTTATCATAAGATCTACAATATGACTATTGCAACAAAAATACAATTTACGGTATTTTCGTATCCGAGATCGATGAAATACTAATATTAATGAATAAACCTGTGATAAGGAAAAATCAATCGTTGCTGTGTAAAGAAACGAACAAGCGTATAAGTACAATGATACTGACAGATCTAAATGAAGGAAAAGATAGAATTAATTTAGTTTATTATACTTAGTATTGACGTCGTCTTATGTAGCATAGCAGCCGATCGCGAATCTTGTAATTATTTTTCTTATTGCCAATCAGGTGCCTTCGATGCACAGCAGGTTGATTCTTTTGGTATCACAGCAGGCCAAATCAAAGTCTAAACTTCGTAAACAAGATTTTTAAGTTTAAAAATACACTGTAATGGTGAGCACCTAGACTGCTTATGGTAAAAAAATTTACTGTAATAAAGAACACCTAAACAACTTACAGTGACCATTCTTGTAATAATACCTTTTCTTACGTTATAAAGAATACTAGTGCAAACTCCCGTCGCTTTGCTGACGGTTTACGATAATGTGCTCATTTAACAGATAGTATTATCATTTGATAGACCTGTCAGAGGTTCAGTAACTTTATGCCGTGTGCTGTATAGATTTCAGAAATACTGTAGTCTTTCACTACCCAATTTTCTTCCGCATCAATTTCTAATAGCGTGCATTCTTCTTAGTGAAATCTGAGAGCAATCCTACCACTCTTGTTATAATACCTCCTGTAACGCAAGATACTGTTTTTGTAGGAAAATATTTAGAGAAACAGTAATTATGTCAGAACAACAAGATTATGGCCATAACTCAAAATCAGTTCCAGCTTTCGAAAATTTTAATACTATCCATAGGCAAACTCTTAAAGACTTTATGACTATGCGTGTGAGAAGATTTATTGAAAAATAGACATTACACGCGTATACCGTAATTTCCAAACATGATGAAGACGCAGCTGCAGAAAAGTCTGTGCTGCATTTCCAGATGACTATTTCTGACTTTCTCAAACCGACTGTCTCTTTCGTTGGACCAGAAATTGCATCATCGGTGGATATTCGATAAGCCTGTTATCTTCTGCCGCCTACAAGGTCAAAAGTCAATCTGCAATGGACAAAGCAGCGAAATTACTAATACTTTACTACCATGTCATGACGTAATTCTTCCAATAATGTCTTTAATCGTATACGATACGTGCAGAATGTTGGAATGTCAGATTATTAAGCTTGGACAGACCAATTCAGTGAGTAATTTGTAAAATTTGGCCAATACCGTTGTTAATAGAGTTCTAAATCACATATCATCAACATTTGAATCTGTAAAGGCCAAGGAACTTCCCTTATCGATATCGAAGACTTAGGCAGAAAATTTATCGATAGGGTATTCGAGGGAGCGTCAAAGAAGTCTTCTAAACTATTACTGATCGAATATCGTGGAATAATAGATGAAATTAGTTATACTACATTGTTAAGTCATTTACCTATCACCAATAACAACTTAATAGGTGAAGGTAGAGTATTCAATCGAAAAGAAACTTCTACAGCTTAGGAAAGAATCTGGGGCTATCGGAATTCATCATTGCTAGCTGATCCTTGTTATCGCTGCAAAGCATCCAATAATTTTAAATTAAATTCAGAAGAGTACGAATTGAACACATTAGATTTCGATATCCTAAAAAATTACAAAAATTATGCACGCCAAAGTCGATTATACGAGATAAAAGATTTCTAATCCTTGCGCTGCTATTCCTTTCAAATATTGGAGTCAAGTCTCTACGATAACAGAACGGATTCCGTTCAAGATAGACCGAAAGATTCTCCCAAAATTAGCTAATAAATTAAAAGACTAGATTAGGCCTATAATGAAATTAAAATTGTTTACGGCAGCTAACAGAGTGACCGACAGAAAGGAATTAGAAGAAACGATTTATTATAGGGTTAAGATTTTATTGTACTTGTAGCATATCCTCATAGCCATTCTAAGTTGTTCGCAATGTAGATAACTTTATCAATCTTTCCCCATATGCACAAACGTAACTGTCACGTTTAAATACTCGAGGCAGCTCGAGTCTTTGCTGCATTCTTGCAGTCCTTTGCTATTGTAGAGACTGTTATGGTATATGTTATATCTAATTCTGCAATCTTGTTCTCTGTATGTGTTCTCGCTAAGGCGATAAAAACTAATAGCTACATCCTCAGATAGTTAGCTACTTTAGCAGCCAAGATAGCACGGTATTTCTCACGTTATTTCGCGATAGCTTACACGCTATTCAGCAGTAACTACCACACAGTACGCAACTTATAATCGGCAATAAAGTATCCATTTTCTACTACAACCTTGGCGTAATAATTCTTGAAATGGTAACGAAGCTCGCTACCGCTACTCATCGACCCCTTAATCACAAATTATAAACCCGATTGACGCTGTTCTTAAAATTCTGACATCGCAGCATAATTTATAGAAAGTATAAGTAAGTGCTCTTTATCGGGAAATAGATAGTCTTCTATACATTCTAAAAGATTTATTTGAATAAATATTGTTTACAACTATCTACCAAAAGCACTCAGTTCTCTAGTGAAAGTATCATAAAGAGCTAAATCACGACCTCATCTATAAAACGTATTGCAATTACCGTCGCTGTTTATCAAAGTGAGGATGACGGATACTTTTGCAAACATCTGATTTACATTACTAACTACATGCCGTACCAATCATTGACTGAATACCCATCGATACTGAAGGGATGGGTATTATTAGTATTACAGTTTCTTAGTCTATATCAAATTTTACTATACGATTGAATAGATGTAAAGAATTCTTAGTAGTCAAAGAACAGTAAGCGATAGTCATAGACTAGTCATGATTACAGTTTATAAGGTAAGTTACTAGGATAGATTGCAATTGGACTGATAGTGTTAAAGTCTTGCTCTTTATAACTTATTTTAGCGAACCAAGGACTTAATATCCAGAAGCATAATATCCAAGATTTTGTAGAAGTACAGAATGCTAAAATATATAAATGTAAATATAAATTTTCACTAACCAATCGACCATGAAGCACCACTGAGATACTAAGTATAGATTTGGCTTGCGTTAATGATATTCTCCTTGCAGCCAGGTTGACTAAGAATATTGACGATATTTACTTATTTGAGGTAAAATTATTATTCAGTATGATAGTATCTTTAATACTATACATAATATTTATTTTCTTATTTTGAACGAATTACGAAGCTATTAGCATTATTTATCAGGAATTAGTATAAAAGAGTTATAAGGGTGTACAGCATAAAAATTTATACGGAATTAGTGTTGAGGCTAGAATTAGGGTTAGTAACATGCGTAAATGCCTCTAAACTATGTTAAATTCACTTTCATAATGTAATAAAGCATATGATTATAATCAATTTATAATAAAATTCAATTGTTTTGACATCGTAATTCCCCGACAATAACGACTAGGGTTCACCATTATTACAGCGTCAAAAAGAGTTTGCAACTAGGTCTAACACACTAGATTGAAGCTGTAATAGTTTGCATAGAATAAAGTATGTTAGTGGGCCTTGACTGATGGTGAAATGCGTTATTTACTCGTACAATATACCAAGTATTGAGAGCCGGAACTAACAGCTTATAAGCTCTGCCCTAATGTGTTAGTATGCCTGAAGATTAGGTGCTTTAACGTTGCTACAGAATCTATGTCGGTCTAAGACCGTAAAATCTTTAAGCCACAAATCTAGCGTAGAAGTTAGGCTGCTACGTTTACGAAACTCTTCTACTTTGTAACAAGAAAGATTTGCTAGAAATCTCCAGACGAGCCCAGTAGAGCTAGAGTATTGAACTAAACTTTATTGTCCTTGCTATACCGCGATACAGTCGAACAAAGCTAACGGTTTACTAACGACATCTTGCAATACCAACGAATACGATAACATTCTTATAATAAGATAATAGCCGATAATTAATTCATAACAAATGATAACATATCAGAAACGTATTCAGGCAACTATTTTATCTATAACCCCTTCTATGAACTTACATACTGCAAATTTTATGCCTAAGTGATTGTGTTACTATAGTCAAACATAATAAGTTAAAGTTGTAGTGAGCTTATAACATAGAAACTGTATCAATATAAACTAACGAAAATCTCAGTTCGTAACAGAGGCTATTACGGAAGCATAAGAAAAAAGCTCTATGGTCCGGTACAGTCAGGTAATCCATGACAAAATCCTCAACCCTATCACCCTAAAAAAGCTCCCCGATTTTGTGCCTTCGACGGCGGATTATCCGTTGTATGTCTCCGGAATCTATATTAAGCCTTCCTAACACTTGAAAGTCTTTGCCATAGAGGTTCATTCCTATGGTCCAAACTTAGTTATTCTATGTCATACTGTAAACACTGCAGTAATCGTAACACTTTCGAAATGTCATTACTGTACATTGTACACGCAGTGACACAGTGTTTCTTTTTTACTTAAAATTACATGTTACCAAGCACAAAGTGGAGTATTATACTCACACATAACAGAGAATTTACTGATTGCATAGTTAAGTGAAGTACACGAAGTATCACCAGCTATGTTCGAGTATTTTAAGTAACTTTTTTCTATTTCACTACTATTATACAATACTGCATTTATATGCAAACAGCAGTATAAAAATACCCACGAATAATAATAATAACAACATTGAAGAATATAAAAGTTAAAGCACGTCGTATTTGTGCTTAGCTATTATTGTGCCTCTTTTACACCTTAACTTAACATGTTCATGCTAAAGAATACAGATGCAACTGCAAGTTGACTGTCTTAATAAAACTGTCTACTCTTTATATTTTGTTCGCTCACTATATTACTATATACTGTACGTAAACGAGTATAATTAAAATTATAGCGCATACGAAAATTCATAACAAATAATAAAACAATAATGACTCAATTAGGACATACTATATAATGTAAGCAACTCTTTAAAAGTACATGAAACTTGCTGGACCTTTCCAAGGTGAATAATAAACTAAACGTAGGGGTAAAGGTAGTCCTATGACACATCTATTTGTTGTTCTCCTATTCCAAGTCACTTCTAGTTGAAACTTAGATCGTTAGTTTCGATACACGATTATAACTTACTTATTAAGAAAAGCTATTCGCTTATAAGTTATAAACTTCCGATATTAACTAATTTATATGATCTACGAGGTATACTGATAATGTCGCATGAAGAAGTTTACGAACTGAAATGTGACTGTGATGATTATAAAGAACGCATCTCCGAATTTCTACAATTATTGCAGTCAAGGAGTGATGATAATTTTTATCGGTTTTGTTGATATCGATTATAAATAATCATCGCTGCATAAAGGGATAGAAAAAGATGCGTTTACTGAAGTTTGGGACGGAAAGAAGCAAATATTACTCACAGTGACATGATAAATCGTAATAATGTACACGTATAGGGCTCAACACGTTCCTTGAAACGATCAATTTATTTTAATAGCAAAGTACGATAACAATTTTTTAATAATTGACAATCATATGATTTTTTAAATAATTATTAGCACTTTGAACTGAATTAATTACAGTATCCTTATGAGTCCCATTGAGGTAAGATCATTCTATAAGAAAACGGAGATCATTATGCTGTAAGAGTTATGATAAGAACTTGATACAATCCTTTTAATCGAATTATTTCATGCTGTGTTACCAGTAATTAAGAACGATAAAATAATTATTTATATAGATACTAAACCATTTTGGTCGAATATTCTTGAAAAAATACAAAGAAAATATCGTAAAATTGGATTTTAAGCCCCTCTACTTCAAAAATGATAACTTATGATCAAACAAGCTTTTCCTCGTATATAATAACGATCTTTCCCATTTGTATATTTATGATACTAAAACAATATAATTATAAGCGAATCTACCCATTCATTACTTTAAAATATGTGATATTCCTTGGAACCTACAGTTATCTGAATTGATAGCAAAATATAGTCCAAATGATGAAGACCTGCCTGATGGCTACTGCTAATAAAACAAATTGAATCCAGATAAATAGTAGGAATAACACATTCTGATTTTCATTATTCAAATGTGATATGCGTCTTTTCTGATAACTTTGTTTGTGACATTAGACATATAATCGATTCATTAATAGCAGATTTTCTTGCATTGGCTAATCTATTCTGTAATGGAGCTAACTTAGCTACATTGATAATTCAATTTTAAAATTGTTATATTGAAGACCTACTGTAATAGTTTCAAGATGCGCTGACATTAGATTCTTGTCGATCATTACTAGTATGCATACGGCCTTAGTTATTTCCAAGCATTACTACAATAGCCTTTGAAATCTATCCGAACTTTTTGGCCTAAGTTAATTCGAATTAGATGAAATAGCGAGATGCTTTTACTATATCCAAACAACTAGAAAAAGAATGAAAAACGATTGATTTTCTTTGTTAACCAAATACTGTACGATTTACCCTTCTTTCTTTCTTTCATTAAAATTTTACTTCGTATCAGCTTATTAATGTAATTCAATAATTATACCATTTCTGCTACTCCGAAACATTTGCGATAAAGCCATTAAGCTACACAGACCTGGCGTGGATGAGATTAATTTGGAACTAGATAAAGTACAATATTATAACACTTTTATTGCATCCAAATTGCCTGAATAGGAAACATAGTTGATTATCATCATCAGCCATATAGCATATCAATGCCGAATTCTTAGTCCAGTCGTTGAATTTCATAGATGTTATCATGGCATAGAAAACCCAAATTCTTTAGTGAACGAGAATGGAATCATGAAAAGTGAATACCTTTCAAGTTAAGTAACTCATTCACGATGGATTTGGAAGATTCTGCTTATTAGCAAATTAAATCTTTATGAAATTTCGTTCGTATGAAAGAAATAATAATATAATAGTCTATTTTAGATGATGAGAGTACTAAGATCAAATTACGCAATATGTAGGTTGGAATAGCGGTAACAACTAATATTGAGCATCGCTGAATTAAAGGATAGTAAAATTATAACCGCATTATAATAGCAACAAATTGAGAAATTAGTCTACTTTAGATGGCCAGTATCAAAGTCTAAATTTGACGGCATCCTTTTCGCATATGCCTGAATTTTAATGTCAATTTTTCACTTTTACTTAACGAAAATCAACCTGTCTTTAAATTTTTATCATTTCTTCACTGTTTTTCCTTCTAGCCCAGCTAACTCACTAACATCTTTGACGCTATTTTTCAATTCATCTAAAAATCCTTACTGTACTGGAATGTTTCTAAATCCCACAGCTGATATCCGAACATGCAATCTAGGTAATTACTATCCAGTTAGATCATACAAAATCTTTTTGCTGAATTACTTTCATTTATTCTTGTGAATTTGGCTGTAATCTAAGAAAGTGTAGCGTTAAAACCAGTTCTTTATATCTTTCTCGGTCATTCTTTCCAGTTGTAAGATCCGTCAAATTAAATAAAAAATGTCATACTAACTTCATCTTCATTGGTAAGACCTGGAATATTCTTTTGATCTAATTTATCAATCCATGTCACCTTTAGACCGCCCCTGACGTATAGAAATAGCCTCTACAAGCTTACCCTGATGAAAATGCACATATCCTAGATTGTTATATGACGTAGTGACACCGAGATGATCACGACTAAAGACTGACAATTTAATCTTGAGTGACTTTTCGTACATAGAAACGGCCTCTTCTTGCTTGCTTTGATTATAATATACACCTCCCATGTTGTTATATGATTTGACAACATCGGGATGATTATGACCAAAGACTAATAATGTAATTTTGAGTGACTTTTCGTACATAAAAATTGCCTCTTCATGCTTGCCTTGATCATCATAAACATTTCCTAGATTGTTATATGATGCAGCAACATCAGAATGACTAGAACTAAAGGCTGATAATCTCATTTTAAGCGACTTTTCATATATAGAAATAGCCTCTATGTGCTTCGTTGAAGTAAGTACACATTACCTAGATTATTATATGATTTGGTAATACTAGTACAAACTCCCGTCGCTTTGCTGACGGTTTACGATAACGTGCCCATTTGTTAATAATTAACAGATAGTATTACCATTCGACAATATATATATCCCGGTAATAGCCGGGCACTACTATATTCACAACTATTCTTCTAGAATACTACTTTTCAATAATGCATTAACGGATGAAACCTTATTACAGTCTTTGATAATAATTCGGCAATTATAATATCTGCCCTGCATATCCTAATGTGAAGAATAATGCTACTGGACAGACTAAAATTATACATTGAAATAGCCTCTTCATGCTAGCTTTGATGTCTATATGCAGCCGATGTTATATAATACAGCAATATCGGGATGATTATGACCAAAGGCTTATAACATTATTTTGAGCAACTTCTTATACAGAAATAGCCTCTTCATGCTCGCCCTGATTAAAATGCACAGCTCCCATGTTGCTATATGATTTGGCAATATCCGGGTGATTATAACCAAAGACTGACATGTAATATTGAGTGATTTCTCAAACATAGAAATAGCCGCTTCATGCGTACCTTGATTACAAAGTGCCTCTCCTATGTTACCATATGATACAGCAGCATCCGGGTGATTATGACCTAAGACTGACAATGCAATTTTTAGAGATTTCTCAAACGTAGAAATAGCCTCTTTATGCTTGCCTTGATATCTACATGCAATTCCCATGTTATTATATAATTTGGCAACATCAAGGTTATTAAGACCAAAGACTGGTAATCTTATTTTGAGCGACTTCTCATACATAGAAATAGTCTCTTCATACTTGCCTTGATGCAAGCGCACATTTCCCAGATTGTTATATGATGTAGCAACATGCGGTTGATTACGACCTAAGACTGACAATCTAATTTCGAGTGACTTCTCATATATAGAAATGACCTCTTCATGCTTGCCTTGATCAAAACACCCATTTCGTAAATTGTTATATAATTTTACAGCATCAGGATGATTATGACCGAAGACTGAAAATGTAACTTTAAGTGACTTCTCATATATAGAAATAGCCTCTTCATGCTTTCCTTGATTCAAATATGCAGCTCCGATATTGTTATACGATTTGGCAATATCGGGATGATTATGATCAAAGACTGATAATGGAATTTTAAGAGACTACTCAAACATAGTAATAGCCTCTTTATGCTTGCCTTGATTAGAATATACAGCTCCGATGTTATATGATGTAGCAATATCGCGATTATGACCAAAGACCGACAATGAAATTTTAAGTAACTTATCATACATAGAAATAGCCTCTTCATGCTTGCTTTGATCATTATAGACACTAGTGCAAACTCCCGTCGCTTTGCTTAATTTGAGTGACTTCTTATACATAGAAGTAGCCGCTTCACGAATGCCTTGTTTAAAATATACAGCTCCTAAATTTTTAAATAATTTTGCAACATTGGGATGATTATAACCTAAGACTGACAACGTAATTTTAAGAGACTTCTCATACGTAGAAATAGCCTCCTCGTACTTGCCTTGACCGAAATATGCAGCTCCTATATTATTATGTAGTTATGAAGTTCTGGCTAAAGCGATATTCTATTCACTAAAATTACCTAATGACAAAAAGTACTTGCCATTTATACATCAGACATCTCACATCAGTCGATATTCTTTGACAATACGAGTTTTAAAGTGATTTACTATCTCTGTTTTATTCGCGTTAACGTAACCTATTTTTATTCTGTTTTAAAGCTAAGAGATTTTATTGACAATTACAGCTTTTCTGAAGCTTGAAGCAACTTGTAACTAACAGAAAGCATGACATGCTTACGCAGATAATAATTAGATTATTCCTATTATTTTTAATTACTGAGACAAATGCCATTGCGGTACTAAAATAAAATAATAAATAAACAAAATGTCATTTTGCGTCACCGCATGTTACAAAATGTAATCAAACTAACTAGATAGAATGTAAAATTTCTTATCTCAGCCAATTTTTTTATTAACGAACATTTAAACTTCGTTTCTGTTCTACATTACGAAATATCCTAGCACTTATGGAATATACTGTGGTTACACTATACAGTAAAGCACGGTATATTTACGAATAGTAAATACATTGTACGTTGCTCACCTAATTCAACAATGGACCATTCGCTTTACAAATAAAAAGTATTGGACAGTAGATTGACAGGTAGGTATATCTCAATAAAATTTCTTGAAACGATATTTGATAAACTTCTAGAATTTCATATCCGTCATGATTTCGTACTTCATGCATTGACATGAATACGGCGTCATGGATTATAAATCAATAGCAGTAATAGAGTGATAGGATTGTAAACATTAATGTGTACTGTACTTATAAAATTAAATACTGTGCATTCTCGTCGCTTAAAATAATTATTACATTTTGTTTTCTTAAGCATTAAGATCTCGATCAGGTGGCATCACGTGAAGTAACTCAAAGTTGTTATTCTTAAGCATCGCGATTTTTTGAAACTGTCATCTATCAAATATGTTATTTAGGGAGCCATATGAATATCAGCCCATTTCTTTACTTTAGTAGAAACTGATTTTATTGTGCCATCATCTGATAACGTAAGTTCTCTGAAGACAAATCATTTTCCATCATGTAATTCTTTTATAATCTTTACGTCTTACGTTACTGCGCGAAAATAAAACGCCCTTATTCTTTAATTTGTTGCTTACTTATTAACAAATTTTTCGATTAGGCGGTTCAGTTTTCGAAATGTCTGCAAGCGAAGATGAAATGAATCAAAGCTGTAGTTCTGCGAAAGCCTTCTACCTTGGTAGTAAACATGAACGATTACTAAAAAACTTTATGATCAGCTGTATTAACAAGTTCATAGCAAAAATCACTCTATATTCAGCTATAGCAAAAGGAGATAAAGATATCCCCGTAACTAATTTTCAAAGACTTATTAATGACTTGGTGAAACCTATAGTTTCCTTACTGGGATCTGAAATCGCCTTGCCGGTAAATATAGGACTATCTGTGATTTCCTATACATCGTATCAAATTAAAAGAAAACTTGCAAAGGATAAAGCTCGCAAGATTACTGATGCCTTGGATACTTGTCATCATTCAATTCTTTTGATAGTATCACTGATCGTTTGTGACGTTTGCAGAATGTTTCAGAATCAAATCATCATGATTACAGAAGCAGATGCAACTTCTAATAAGGAAGTATTGACAAACGCTATCGTTAACAGGGTTCTCAATTATGTATCTAAAAATAAGCTTGCAGATGATGCAAGATGCATTGTGAAAGCACATGAAACCACTTTCTCTGAAGTATTGGAAGTAGCAAGGATAGGCATTACTGGATTATTCGAAGGAGAATCAAAAAAGTCGTCTAAAGTACTAAAAATAAATTACAATGGAACGGACCGGGAAATAACCTGTGGTAATTTGTTAAAGTTGCTGCCAGTGCTTATAGAAAATCAGAGGATCACGTGTCATCGAAAAGACTTCGAGAAACAATACGAAAAAATTTGGGGAAATCGTAAATCGTCTCTACTAGCCGAGCCATGCTTTAGTTTTATACCATCAAGTAAAGATTCTAAAGTAGATTCAGAAGAATATAGCCTAGAAACTTTACACCCTGCTGACTTAAAATCCAATATATGTGAAAGTCAGCTGAGTAAAGTGGTTGATATTGAATCTTTAAGTAGCTACAGCATTTACTTACTGAAAATGAGTTTATGTGATAGTAAAACGGGACTAATCATGGATGCAGTAAAAGACATACGAAACTTAGCGGAGAAAATAGATCGCTGGCAAGAATTCTGTAATCAAGTGAAAGATGCTTTAGACCAGCTAACACAGCTGCCTACTAAAACAGAAGTTGAACTACTGATAAACCCGATTTATGCAGAACTTAAGCGTCATGAGTCAAAGTCTCGGGATATGCAACTTCAAATTGATGCGGTACATCAGGATACCAAAAACTTATTGCGCTTCAATGCAGATTTGCTTGCCCTAGTTAAAGATATCAACAGTAGGAAAGCTAGGATGCCAACAAAAGATCCCAACACACTAGGTGAGTAAAAATTGCAGCGTGTATTTAGCGTAAGCCAAAAACGACTCTGTAGATATTACAAAAGTTAAAGTTATAGCCGGTAAAACAATTTCGCTAAGTTTGTTTTATAGTAAGAAATAGCTCAACTCACGGGCTAACGATCCCTATAGCTCCACAGCTAATGTGCGTAACGTAAATGCCATAAATTTAGTAAATTATAATATTAGAACCACACCAGCAGGACTTTTACCATAAAAGCTATAATTTCTAATGCTTTTTAAAAGTTTTTAGGAACGTATCATAACGGAAGTAAAGGATCTCATTAGTTATAATTTCGAGGTTTTGATAGATCTTCTGACATTAACTTTGCTTCGAGTTAAATAAGAAATAATATGACATCTCTTTAACAAGCAACTCCTTGTATTTGAGAGAAATGACGTTTCTTAACAAATATTGAATATATTAAAATCAGACTTAACGTTTGAGACGTAAAGTTCCCATAACCTTGCACTATATATTGTATTATATTATTATGAAGGCAAGTATCGTAAAATGTTTTAATATAGTTTTATGGAAGAGATAAGAACCGATACTGCAAAGGGTGGTGAGTAAATGATGATAATTGAACCCATAACTTAAAGTTACGGCATTAATTAAATAACAGAACTACGTCTGCATTACCGCAGGAGTTTTATGAGCATGCCAAGCAGACATTTGTAAAATATGTCGAGTGATCAACACGTAGCAGTATAACTGGCGTTAATAAAAGCTGGAAATGTTGTAAAATTTGTAATCATTATCCGCCTAGTTTGAATGTTGTAGCACTAGCAGAAGAATATCCATTCTGAAAATCTTTGTCACTTATTCCGTATCATCGTTTCACAAATATATGATAACAAAGAAGTACAGTGATCGCTAAACGATTCACTTTTATCTTTATGTCTAAGAGATCCTTCAACATGTTCCCCATATTGGAACAACAGAACACTTAATAGTAAGAAAAGATTTTCAAGATCGAATACTGGAAGCTTTAACCAAAATTCAGTATAATAGTGGACATGTCTTAGTGTATGGAATAGGTGGATGCGGTAAGACATTCGCGGTAAGCCAAGCAGTGAAGCTGTTGGTGGAAAAAAATCCGAAAAATTTTCGGCATGCAATTCGGTGGATAACCATAGGTTGCATTAGAGAATAAAAATACTAGCAATTAAACTATATATAAGTTAGTCTAAGATCTTTAATTAGTCATAAAATAAATGTTTTATTAAGTTCATGATATGCTCTTTCACTTATTTGTAATAGAATAGTGACAGCCGAAAAATCAATAATTTTAGCACCTCACAATTAAGCACATTACGAATAAGCGATATTTTATCAATCTGCATTTTCATACTTCACAGGTAATATCAATGAAGACAAACTTTTGCAGATATTAAACAAATTAACATATGAAATAAGTATTAATATACCTAATGAGCTCCGAAAGTCTTTGCCTGAATTTTGTAATGCAATAGAAGGAGCACTATATGGTAAGTCTAGACATCGTTCGGATGTTCTGCTCAGCCTATTACAATCTTTAAAAGTGCTAGCGAGATAAATTAAACTTATGCTTTCATATTTTTAATATTTTTTACGTACTTTATTGAACGAAATGTATAAAGAAAACGGCATTAGCCTTTTTAATAACGAAGTAGTAGTAAATTTTAGATTTACTTCACTATATAGATAAAGCATAAATCGGCAGTAGGTACCTCGAACATTCTATATCTGTTGAGTAAAATGTAATTACGAGTGAACATAGCCAGTAACTACTTATAATGACTATTCAGCTATCCGTAATACAGAATCTAGTTTCTTTTAATTAATTAACTACGTCTTTACGGCTCTACAATATTCGCTGTGACAAATAGAGATACTATATCATGTGATGGTTAATGTATGAGGTTAGACCTGAAATAAGATTTATAAAGGGTCTAAAGAGAATAAATTTAAGTAATTTCATTCATAAATTTTGCTTGCCAGTCAACGATACGCACACTGATCAGTCATCTATGAGAACAGTATTACAGTATGATGTATTCATCATCGACAAAGTGTTATAAAATAACCCTTATATCTGATTTTCAGAGAAATATGGAAGTACGTCAGAGATCCTTTTTATATTTGATGACATATGGTCCGAAAATTACATAAAGTATTTAAAATTTACGGCCAAGGCAATTGTTATCTCACGACTACAAACTGATTTCATGAAGTCGATGCATAACCATGTTGTCAAAGCATCGGTATAACCTAATATTTGTATCCTATATAATCCATTCCGTATTTGTAGCTTAAATGAATGCAAATAGAATTATAAAAACCATAATTACTAATTCATGTTTAGGAGAACTTCACCTTTAATGAAGCTGTCCATGTTCTACACTCCTATCAAAGCAGTCTTAATTTAAAGGATTTCCTTGAAAGTGAATACATTTCAAAAATTATAGATTATTGCAAGGGTTTGCCGCTAGCAATCGCCTTAATAGGTGGTCAGCGGATTGAAACAGCAGAAGGATGGCGAAATGTTTTAAGTAAAATCCAAAGGAGTGATGCTGTCAGTCTTCCATACTATCGGTTCAACTTATACGAAACATTTGCGGCTAGCATTGAAGAACTCTCAGCAACGGAAAAAATATTACTTAGAAAACTTGCGGTTTTTATCAAAGGCAACATACCTTTGAGAATTATAGGTAGCTTTTGGGAGCTTAGCAGAGAAGATACCGCTAGGGTATTGCGTAATTTCCATGATCGATCACTTTTGATGTTTTCCTATGAAAGGAATTCAAATAAGAAGAGGTAAGATGAATTTCAATTTGATAGTAACTTTGCAAATAATACGTCACATGAGTCGCAAAAGGCATAGGTATACTTATTTCTAGTTCACAACTTTTTAAAATATTCTTATAAAAAAGTTATGAAAAACTACGTTATTTCCTACCGTAAAATAAAAACGATCCCTTTGATAAAATTTTATTTAAAGCGCATGCGTCAAATACCAGCGGCTGGTCTGTAA